GGTGTTGCTGAGCAATGCTGTTGTGACGGTCGTTCGACCGTCGTCAGTATGATGAAAGGAATCCAATGATTCGTTCTCGAGCTTTCGTCTACGTTAGAATATATGCTCTTCTTGTGATTTCGCTCTTGTGATCTCGCCTGCGTATGCTCACATATATAAAAAAGCATACAAAAATAATACATATATTAAAAGAACGTTTTTGAAATGAAGCAAACTGCTTGTTTCTAAAATGTCGTCGAATTTCATGACCACGCAGAACCAAAACAAAACAAAAAAGACTTCTTCTAAAAGAAGTAGCAGTTATTGGGCGAATACACGTGCGGTATTATATTTTACTTCCTCAATTCGTCGGCAGAAATTTACTGTCGCCATCATCTTCTTCAGCTGCATCTGCATCTCTATCTTCACAGCATACCTGGTACTTCTGCAGCACTAAACAAGAGACGGTTCACTATGTTCAAGAAAGGCAAGCAGGCCTTGCTCCGCAGAGGAAAACAAAATGAAAAAGAACCTGAACATCTGAATCATTCTCAGAAAGCAAGCTCAAACGATTCTTCCCACCACGACTCGTCTGAGCATTCAGACAAACAATCAGCTGATCATTTTGCTGATCATGGAACTCCAAACGATGGCATCCAGCCCTCTCCCAGTCCTGAAGAAAGTGATTTTCGTTGGAGTATCAAGCCTGATGCAAGACTATCCGATGGAGCAATCGGAATGAAATCCAAAAAGCAAAATACCGCACGAAACAACAAGATGACTATGTTGGGAGCCACCCCTGAGGGGCGACCCCATAATTCTAGTGATGATTCTGGTGACGATCCATACCTTACAAGCGACGACGACAATATGCATTTAGGTGCTCCACTGGCGAATCATGAAGAGGTTCCCACGGAAGAAGATCCAACTCCTGTTCCCATTGAAGAAGAAGAACCAACTACTGTTCCTATTGAAGAATCCCCAACCAGCGAAGATTCCATTCAAAAGGAAGAAATGGCTCCAAAAAAACGGAAGAAAAAGAAAAAGTCAGGAATTAGCACTTCGTCTAGGTCTTCTGGTGGTTCTAAGAAGAGAAGTGAGGATGTAGGTATTAGCAATTCCAGTAGATCGACGAAATCCAAGAAGGCCAAGACCAAGAAATTAAAGAAAGATGGTGTCAAAAAGACAAAGAAAAAGAAGAAAAAGGCTGGCGAAGATAGCGAAGGGCTCGAGGTCGAAGCACCAAAAAAGAAGTCAAGCCTCAAAGATCGTTTCCGAGCCTCACTTGCGATGATTGGTGGTGGCAGTGCGGCGCAAACGAAGGATCTCGACAAGGAAATTATTGCGGCCATTGAAGAAGATGGTAGCGAACAAGTTGAAGACAATGACACCCCTGACTCTCCGCTTGTTGATTCTACTTCTGTAGAGCCTGAGACCATCACGGAGAAAGAACAGTCATCTCCGTCCGTTGAATCTGAAACTGTCACTGAAAAAGAAAAGCAAGTGTCCAGGCTTACTGATCTGGTGAAAGGAGGAGGAGCACCCGCCAATGGCGAAATAGCCCCCAAAGAGCAAATCCGCGAAGGTGCTAAGAGGATGAAGGCTATGCAGACCCTCCGTTCATGCGCCGTAGATACCCATTTTTCGGCTGCTTTCAGCTCGGAGCCTGACAAGTCGGTGAGTGCAGGACTCATGAGCGAATCTGATAAGGATACTGTCGACAAAATGTTGGCCGAGCTGCGACAGTACGAAATACAACTCGAACAGGAACGAAACCAGCTAATTGCAGATCGAGATATGTTGCAACTCCAGCAGGAATCAGTTGAACACTTGCTAGAAGAGGAGACCCAAAAGGCCCAGCAGCTAGAAGCAAGAGTATCGGAACTAGAGAATATTTTGGAGAGTGAAGTCTACCGAAAGGAGAACGAAGAACTTATGATGAAGGTTCAGTTGATGGAGACTGAGCTTAAAAGACAAGAAGATTCATTGGCCAAAATGGTTGCTGATAAACAAGAGGTCATGAAGCGGCAAAATTCGACTTCTACCGAACGAACATCCTCCATTGTTAGCAATTGGGATTCTGCTGATCTTATTCTTGACGGGAGTGAAGTGCAGTCTGAAAAACGCAGCAGCAGCTTAATGACCGTTCCGGGTGACGCCAAACTTCAAGGAGAGCTTCTTCAACTGCGATCCTCCTTGAACCACAAGGATAATGCCTTGGAAGAGCAGGCCAAGGAGATCGCCAAGCTAAAGGAACAGCTGGAACAGTCAGACGAAAATCAGAAGTTGAGCCAAGTGGAGGCTGCATGCGAGGAATTTCGCAATGAGAGTAAGGAAAATCGATCCGAAGTGGAGCGACTGAAGAAGCAACTTGCCAAAGTCGAAGCTGAAAAACAAGCAGAGATAATCAAGGGAGAACGATGGAAACAATTGGAAGAAGAAAAGACAAAGGCCCTGAGAGAAGCTGAATATGAAAAGAACGAAGCTCTGAAGAAGTTGGACACGCATCTTCTTCTCAACCTCAAAACTACCAAGACAAGAGAGAGCACGATCAACAATGTGCTCGATATTGGTACTCCTGCTCAATATGCAACCACAACACCCACCGAAATTATTGAAGAGACTGACGAAATCGAAGAAAGCGAATTCAATGATTCAGAAAAGCAGGAGAAGACGAATTGGTTTGGACGTCGTGGAAAGGAAGTCGAAGAATTGAAAGGAATAAAAAAGAAGAGACTGTCGATAGAAGAGGCAGAGGAGTTGAACTGGTTTGGATTCGGTGGTGATGGCGACGATAAAGTGCAGGAGAAGGACGATAATGCTGCGAGTGGATGGTTTGGATTTGGTGGAAAAGAGAAGAAAGATGACAGAAATGAAAATTCGGGCTTTTTTGGATTTGGCAAGAAGGGCAACAGTGAACAAGTTATCGCTGCCTAGATCGACAGGTTCCAGAAAGCCTTCGGACCGATCAATATCACACTCCAAAGCTGAGGTGAGACAGCCTGTGGCCTCTTGTCTTCCGACGCTCGAGGCTGGTTTGCGCTTGTCCCAATCTGATCTGAATAAAACATGATGCGAAGCAGAGAGTTTGCCATAATTTCCTTTATTTCTAGTACAAAATGTTAAAGTTGAAGACATACATCTATGTAGCAGTCGCATTCTCAGTGTACGTAGCCGTGCCTTTCACCCAAACGACTTCCATTGTTGGCAATCAGACAGGTTCCATCCATCACTAGTCCAAAGTGGAACCAGTGAATCGGAACATTTACCTCAAATCGACGCTTTTGCAGTCGAAACATCATCGTTTCACCTCTATGCAATTTACATCGATTATGTGAAGTCTGATCTACCTATGAATCTACTACTGGTGATTAGTTGGGAGGAAGAAAGGACAATTCCAGTATTTTTCTAAGATGGATTAGAGGCTTCTACTATCGCTACCACATTGTCCCATTGACAAGCACGGGAGTTTGTGCGTTTACATGCATTATGGCGCTCACATGAAGCTGAAAAGAACAAGGCTTCTTCCTTGGAAGTCCAAACGTCGTTGGAACATGGTGTCGTCCATGGTCGTGTATGCGGTTGCCTTTCGGCAAGTTCCTTTTGGACGAGGGCCGAAGGTCGATTCGTTTTATAGTGAGACATGAAAAAGTATTTCTGCACAGAAACCTCTCAATCTTGGTTGGACCATGTGAAACGGTGATGGCCGCAGTGCTGTATTTAGGCAGTGCTGGCAGCAAACTTCATCCGCTTCGCCAGCATAGGGCGTGGGATGGTTTTGTCGATGTGTGGTGACTTCATTGTGATTGATTGACTGCCTTGAGTTGCCTCTTCAGTCTCAAGAGTGAGCTCAGTCGTTTCGCTTGTATCGAATGCCATCTCCGCTTTTCTTCGCGACGGTGGTGACCTGGAGGGGGATCTGTCTTGGATGACCACAATGTCATGAAGTTGGTGTCTTTGTTTCAGGTTTGCGAAGTAGAGATGGAGGAGAGGTGACATGGTTGGGATTGGATGGTGGGTGATTCGAAGAGTGTAAAGTTTGGAAATTTACTATACTGTGTCAGGAACTTCGGAGCGATACATAGTACCAGTAGGTGATGTGTTGATCGATTGCGTTGCATGTTGCATGCATCAGCGCATTGTTTTGCACGTTATAGGCCTCTCTATGATTCAACTTGCAGGGGTGTTTCATAAATCTGGCCTTGAGTATATTGGACTAAAGTACGTAGGTTGGTCTCAAAGTATCTTATATAAAATTTATGGATTGTTAAAAGGAGCACATTGGTTGCTCCGTTTTAACTTGTTCCATATGTATTTTTAAACAAGTGATTAAACGCCCTTCAAGACATAGGATATAAAAGCGCTATCGTGAGTGATTTGTGCTGCAAAAGACTGCATACAACGAGGAAAAACGTAAAAGCGTTTGGACCGTTTGTGGATGGGTTTTGATTGGCTGCTGGCTGGCAGCTGATGTTATCTGTTACAGGATTTTGAATATTTGCGAAGTCACAATACGACCAGGCTGTGATTTCGCATATATCCCCAACCCTTACTATTGCTCTCACAAATCAATACTGCCGCCCAAATCAATTGCCAAAGCAACCAACACAATCATGACTCAATCCAACAACAACTTGAAACAATCGTCGCCAAGTCACCACCCATCTTCCGACTTGCTTCCCAGTCGCACTCCTACAAAGGATGATTCGCCAGAAGAACGAAGCGTCTTTGTGATTGGAATCTTAGATGAAGTCCTTGACATTCTGAATGACGATATCTTCGGCTACGATGACGATCTCGTCTTCGACACCATGCCGGCAGAATGCGGGTTGTTACCCCAATAAAAAAGAGGCAACACAACCACTTAATTTACCCGCTACTGCAACAGTGTAGTGAAAAAGCGAAATGTAAATATAGATATAGAATACTCAATGCACAATCATTCAATCAGACACTCAGTCAAAAGAGTATTCAATACTGTTTACTAGAGGCAGACTACTTCTTGTGAATCACGACCGTCCTTCTAGCAACACCCGCACCAATGTTGTTGGAACCCCCAACACGCTACCACTATGCATGGACAGCCTACTAAATTCTCCCACCAGCTTCAATTGCTGATATGCTTCGTTTGTGTATCAATTGCCTGGCTAAGACGGAATTCTTGAAGACAATAATTTGGTTAGGGGTCCTCATCAGCCTCAACCACAAACCACAAGTAATTTTCAATTTCATCAAGAGCGATATCTGTAAGTTGAGAGTGACGTGGACGAAGAGACGCCGACAGTGTACATAAAAGTAGAAAATATAATGCCCATTGACCCATTGACCCATTGATTCTGAGAATGATTCAATCATTGTAGACAATAAGAAAAACTGACTCTGACACTATAATGTTGATCTGCTAACAAGCAACAACAAAGGTCCTCCTTTTTTAAATTAAACAAGCATAAGGAAAAATGTGTTTTGAATATTGTAAGAGTAGTTGCTATTATGATTTGATACCGATAGCATTTGAATCATGCTGCTGATGCACAAGACGTTTTCACAAATGCTGTACAGACGAAGCCGTCCAAGTGCAATACCTGATACATCTCGGTCTCTTGAGTTGTCAATAGAGTCATTAGAGCACTTTGCAAATGACGTCTGCACATGAATAGCTTGGCTTGATTATTAGCTTTTCGATGAATTTGAGAAAGGTTATTGACAATGATCAGAAACACAGAAATATTGACTGTATTCTGATCGGTGTTGCCGTCTCCCACATGCCATTTGAAGGCCATTTCGTACAAGGATGCAGCCTTTTGGTATCGTTTGGCTTGCGCTCTATGGTCCGACAATGGGCATTCCAAACAAATCAAGTGCTTGGCAATGGCCAAATTCAAAGTTGTAATTTGTAGCAGAGCGTCACCCATCTTGTGGCCCATTGCCCCTGGATGAACTTCAATTCCTCGTCTATGCACGTAGTGGTCTTTACTCGTGTCGTAGATCTTTGGTTTGGAATCCTGTTCCAGACTGTAGCGAACAGATGAGGAAACTGTACAATGTTGACAAGAGCAGTGGTTATCCATGCCATCATCATTGAATGTCTTTATCGCCTGAACAAATAGATTTGTGGCTTTGCGATAGTCTCCATAATTTAGCGCTTTGACGCCTTTGTTGTTGAAGTACTGTGCAAGAAGCGGTCGGGGAATAGACGGGTGTGCTTGGGCAGACCTTGACGACGATGAAGAAGGTTTCAAGCAGGATGGACGTTGTGAAATACTGGATTGCACAACCACACCCGTGTCGGAACTTTGTGAGCAACTCTCATCGCACGTAGAATGAAGTTGACAATTGGTAGTCATATCGTCGTTGTATTCCTGTTGGAAAGAGGTCCTAGCAGGTCTTGTCATCTTTCTGAATCCGAGGTATTGCTTCTGTTGATCTTGTCGTTTTTTATGATGGCTACTTTCACCACTAGTCCGAGCATATAGTGGTCGTAATTTGAACAAAAGTCACGAACAGTAAAGTTGAACCCTTGCTCTAAGGGTAATTATCCCGTCTTCTCTCAGAGGCATGTTATATGTATAACGAATTTAAACGCCGCTCGCTTTTGTTTAAAAGTAAATAGACCCAAAAGCTCGCGTTCGGTTTGATACACTCAAATGGGGGAGGCAAGAATCACGACCACTATCATGTGAACTGTGCAGCCAGCGTCTGTAGTTCATCCGTACCGTCTCTCTGCAAGCAAGAAGAGGCACAATTCTGTACTGTACTACTGCACTCGACTCGAAGAGTCCAATAATGACGGACGACTGCAAGATGTCCTCAGTAGCGATCGTTATTGTAAGCGTAAACAACGGTTAATCATGGATCGACCCCTTCGATAACTTGGAAAAAATCACAACCTTCATGATACCGATACCGGTAGTGGAAAAGGGCCTTGGGAGCCGTTTGAAATCAAATTCAAAAAGTTCGATCCCTTCTCACCCACCATGTACCGAATTCCATGCATTCTCCTTCATGATAATGATGTCTTCTCTCTCACTATTCGGCAGCTGATCAGAAGACTATCACGGCCAACATATATATAACATTGGATCTTCGTCCTCTTCTCCAAGTTCGACACGACACCGCAAGTGTGTTGTTGGTGGCCGCAAACCAAGCTATAGTAATCGAGTATCTGCTGTAGTTTTTTTGAATAGGAAACTCATTGACCAATATGGGTCATCACAAAAAGTATACCAATTTAGCATCTCTATCAGTTGCCCTTAGGTGATCCTACGTTCAACCAGGAGCCATGAGTTGTATTGAGGTAGGATGCTGTCAGGAACGCCATCGTGCATTGTAGTACAATTCCACTCATTCGTACAACTATCATATGTCAAGTACAAAGGAATTGACAATATTCTCCACTGTCTCTCGCTCACTGCCACCTTTTTCAAATTTGACGGCATTGGACGAAGTCATTAGCATATAAATTTCATTCTCCACTTGGTAGGCATCCACGAGACCCCTCCTCTCTACTCGCAGTCCATTTCCTGTCACTGTGGCATATTTGATCTTGAATCGTCGTCTGGTGGCGCAACTACCGGCCGGGCATTCCACTAGTGTCTGCCCATTGACTACTTTGTAATCTTCTATTGTCTGTCCTGTTTTGGAAACACTACCTTCTGGATCAAAGATCAAATCTCCAAGAACACTTTTCGACAAGGATGCGAGTGAGGTATCGGGTGGAAGAGTTGCCTGAAGCAAGTAAAGCTTGTCGCCCTGAGACCAGCTGTTAGTCAAATTCATCACAATAGATTAAATTAAAACAAAGCACAGAAAACAAAGAACTTACATTTCGTTGGTCCACGTATTGGATACCGCCAGTGAATTTGTCTAGTTGCAGCCAATCGAAAGGAAACTCGAACTGAACTCCGACGGATCGCAGCTTGGAACCGGTTGGTGGTACCACCACATCATTGAGACGATAGAGATTGCCAAGTGGTCCAGCCTTTTTCAACGACGGTCCGAATCCTGGGTTTGCACGGTAGGCCCAATGTGCTACTTTGCTATCCAGTGCTGTTTGATCCAGTGGCTTTTCAGTTCTTTTGGGAGCTGTGGTAGTTGTTTCAAGAGCTTTGACTTCCTTCACACGCGCTGTCCCTGATCCATCGTAGGCTTTTAATTGCTGGGCAAGGTTTGCATTTCCTCCTCCTCCTCCTTCCACCTGCAATCCGCTGACGTCAATCCCTGCAAAAGCATTCTCGGGTGAAAGTAGGAACCCAACCCCCAAACCAGCAGCCTTCATTAATGAATATGAAAAAGATCTTCGGGAAGTTGATTCCTCGACTGTTGGCTTGGCAGCATGGAGGGCCATCGTCAATTCTTGCAGCCCGTAAGAAGATGATCTTTGAACGGAACCAGAGTTTGATTGGAAGGCATAGGTCTCCGTAACCAACAGCAGACAAGTAGCAATAGAAAGTTTCATTTTACGTCTGTAACCTCAAACAACTTGGAACGGAAATGATGATATAGTGCTGTCATCGTGATTCCTCATCGGCATTTTTCTGACACCAAACACGTACACGTACACGTACGTGGACAATGGTTTTCTCATTTCAATGTTTGTCGTGTGTGCTTCCGCCTGACAGTGTGTCCGTCGGAATAATGGGTCTTTCATATCCAACTAAAAAATTCGGAAGATGCGTCGAAAAATGGTGCCAACATCTTTTTTGTTTCAATTTCAATAGCATAGCATATTACACCAATAACATTGACACTCATTCGCATATACCACGCTGATACATTATCATGCCACCACCGCACCCTCGTTCCATTTGGAATCCCGCTGCTGAAATCCCTTCCACCACTCAAGTTCGACCTTGTTCTTCCTATGAGGATGATGATGATCATCATCATCATCATCATCATCATCAAGAAACAACCAATGATGCCGCTTGTTTTCCAGAACAAGAAGCCGCTCGAATGGCGGCTCTGAAACGGCTTCGACACAAACTGGTCACTCAATGTGCAAAGCAACAACACAATGCTAAGCCACCCACTCTAGCCATGGAGCGATGGTTGTCTCGAGAATCCTTGCAACGAGAGCTCTCAACGACAACAACGAAAGAAGACGGCGTCATCAAGGATCCAATTCTTCCATCCACTGGCATTGTGGACGATGGCCTAGTGAAAGACTTGTCCCGCAACATGGAATACACAGAGGCACAATCGATAGCTGAAACATTGGCCAGTGACGCCAAGACTGCTGCGGAACGAATATCCAAGCTTAGTGGCACCAGAGAATCATCATCACCATCATCATCCAACAACAACACCGCCGTGAAGGCTGAGCTAAAAGCGTGTACCAAGGCACTCAAAAAGGCTTCCAAAGCCGTACAAAAGAATCTACAAACAAATGGCAATGACGACAGTGATGAATCATCATCATCTTCTTCTTCCAACGAGCTTCAAAAGTCGCTGACAGCCTTGCACGAAGCCACCCAACAACTGGACACATGCCGCCAAAAGATTCAACGGATCCAAGATTATGCCACCAACAAGAACATTGTTTTGGATAATTCTCGTCGACCTGGTATCTGCGATGTCATGTTGTTGCAAGCGGATGGAACCCCCAAAAAGCCCTATCTGACCATTTCCATGAACCATCTCATCAAATTTGTCCAGCTCTGGCAGTTTCAAAATCATTCCACTTCTAGTAAGGTTTCAAAGATGATTAGCCCCAAAAGCATTGCCCAATCTCCCATGACCGCAATTATGGAAATGCCCGATGGCAGCAGCTTTCTTCGATATCTTTACTGTTGTTTGAGTCGATACGAAATGATCAAGGGAGCTGGGTACCAATGCGCCATGCCACCCATTGCCTTTGACGCGGCCAATATGGAGTTGGGTCTGGGTACCACGGTGGAATGCTTTGCCAGTCCCTTTAATTGTCGCTACAAACACTATTGCTCGGCCTTTCCCGATTTGGAACGCAAATTTGGATCGTTGGGTTCCTTTTTTGACGACTCTTCCTTTTTCCCCTCGAATGGTTCCTTTGAAGCGAATCCACCCTTTGTTCCCGAACTCATGTGGGCCATGAATGCCAAGTTGGAACGAATCTTGTCACATGAGAATGCCAAGGCATTATCCTTTTTGGTGATTGTACCAGTTTGGGGAGCCAATGGGATTGGCAATGTGGAAGAATTGGAAGCTTCCAAATATTGTGTGGCATCCAGTCGTATAGCAGCGGCCGATCATTCCTTTTGCGATGGCGCCCAGCACAAGGCATTGAAACAAGAGTTGCGTCCAAGTTCGTGGGACACGGCCGTCATTTTGTTGCAAACCCCTCAAGGAAGTGAGGAGTGGCCAGTCTCGCAGAGCAAGCTGGAGAGTGTCTTTTGCGCAGCCTTGAAGAAATCCAAGACTCGGTCGTCTTTGGCGGATTGGGAACGACGTGGAGTGGGAAAAGGTGGCAGTGGTGGCGGTGGTACGAGTACGAGTACGAATAGACACCACCATCAAGAGGGCAATACGAAAAGACCTTATTCTTCAACCACTACTACTGCCCCGTCATCATCAATATCACCAAGGTCGAGTTTCCGGGGGAAAAAGACCAAATTCTAAATGAGTCTATTATTTTATACGTTTGATACTGCTACAAATGTAATATAGTCAATGTATCGTTACGAGGCTAAACGCTAATTTGATAGTACAGTTTTAAAATCTCAAAATTCTGGCTATTCTCATTATTGTTTGTTTGTTCTAAGTACAAACCTAGTCCTAGTTTTGCTATTCTCCTCTATCTCTACAGCTTCCTTCTATCATATACATTTGTGGTTGTTGTTCCTCGTCCCTAAATTGTTGTTGTTGTTGTTGGTGGTTGTGGTGGTGGTTTGGGTGGGGCGTGCTAGTCACGCGGCCCCTGCACTGCTACTCATTTGAATGTTCCGGCGAAAGGTGGTTTCCATTGGCTGGATTTGTTGGATGTTTTCACCATCTGTCACGCGAACGTAGAGCAAAGTGCGCATCAGCTGTTGCATGCATCGTTGGAACTTGGTCTTGTTGTTGACCCGGCGATGAATGTCACCAATGTTGTTGACCAAGATCATGTTGAGTCGAAGAGACTTGTGTTCTTCCTTGCTTTGCCATTGATAGGCAAGTTCGTATAGCTTGAGTGCTCTATTGAGTAAGACCCGTCGTTGCTTGTCATCATTCGTCTCTTTCAAAGACTTCAGTTGGTTGGCCAGGGCCATATTGTACATGACGAGCAGCGGCAAGATTCGTCCCATCGGATGAGACATGTACTCAGAAGGGACTCGCAGTGCTTGCTGATAAATCACGAGTCCATTTTTGTTGCTACTGTTGCTGTTGTTGCTACTGTTTTCATCTCCTTCTCCTACCGCCGCGGCTTGTTGAGTGCTAAGGTTCTGAGAATAAGACAAACAAGCTTCTAGCATGAACAAATGGGACGTCTGGGATTGGCGAAAGTCCGCTCGAGACAAGCGGAGAGCATTGTTGAGCGTTTTGATCGCTTTGTCATAGTCGCCACTTTCAATCTGATGTGCCGCTGTGTTGTTGAGTCTTTGCGACATGATGCAAGAGGAGTGTGCTCGTTCGAGTGAGTTCATACTATTAATGTGATGTGTGATTGGCTGCGATGTGATGGCTTTGATGGCTTTCAAAAGTTGTGAGACGAACCGAGATTGCTTCCTCTCTTCCGATGAGAAGGGCCAAGATTCAGAAAACCAAGAATGTGAGGAATTCGATTGATGTAAGCTGAACCCAGCATCTGCTTGTTCGCGTGTTCTCGGAAATAAGGTCCAAATCCGAACTTTTCTACTTGTGACGTCACGAGAGCGACAAACTGTGGTCCAATCTGTTAATTGTTTTCTCGTGGCAATCCCCAAATTCGCAACATTCTCACAGATTGCAGTCTTTGCGACATGAAAGAATGAGAAAAGGAGAAGGTATGGAAACACCACACGACGTTCGTTGCGGCACCTCTTCGAGGCTCATCAGTTGGAGTATATTTCCCCCTGTGCGTTGGCCTTGAACCGGGACACGTAGGTTTTATCAGTCGGTGTATTTTTCAAAAATGTCCGGGAGATCGACCGATTCTCACCGTCACCTTTTGTCCTATGGATTCGAATTTACGAAAGTATTGGTGTAGCACATTGCATTTCCAACAAGATAAGAAAACAGGAATCGGCCGATTTTCAGATTCTCTCTTTCCAGTCAGACAGTCATTACCACGATACAAATGCCGTATAGGCCACTATGGCGACATGGCAAGGAACATGTATAATAAAAGCGCAAAGGTTCGAAGGCGAACTCCTCCTGGACTATTTGAAAGTGGTGCTTGTTACGATGACCACGATTTCTATATCCCACAAAAGAAAGTAATCGGCCGATTCTCACTCGACCTATTTGTACAGTATACAACGAACGACTCTGGATAATGATGTATCGCCAAAAGGGAAAAAAAGGGCCGACGGTGAAGGGTCATTTGAATAACAGCACATTCCGAATTCGAAACTACTGCCGATTGTTTGGAAGAGCAAAGCACTACGAGTATACAGCAATCGTCGGATTCTCACTTTTGCCCAATGCCAAAGTGAATAACGACGCTGCAGTAACGCTCACGCTCGACCAAGTCGAAAGTGCCGACTGTGAAAGAGGCATTTGAAGAATAGCAAAAGGGAGACATCAATACGGAACTTCTGCCGATTCATTCTCGTTGTTGGGAACAGCAAGGGGTGCTGCTGCTGCTGCTGCCGAACAAGTACTTGTTCCATGTAGGTATGGTGGACGGTTTGTGATTGCTGCTGTCTATATATATACCAAGATGATGTGAAAAAATGCCTTCGTCTTAATCATCTTCATCAGCATCATCAAACGATAAAAAGAAGACTGCATGACAAGGTGCGAAGCAGCCACCAGTTGATGGATCAAATGGTCTCGCTCGGTCTGCACAACAAGAAGTGGAGCAAAGGTGCCTCCTGCTTTCATGATAAAGCGATGATTGTTCTGCAATAATAGTATCACAAAGATAAGGATACGGTAGCTACATTCCAAATAACAAACAGCCAGATAATTTAATAAAGCAAATGAATCTACTGATTGATGAGATTGTTTAGTAATGCATGATTCCTTCTCAATATATAAATTTGATTCATTGTATTCACTGGTGTTCTTAGCATGTCAGCCATACCACAGCAACCACACCAAAGACTGATGTTCACGGTATTTACTATTGTAGTACAGTACTTTATAGACAGAGATGTGACAAAATGGACTCGCTGGATTTAAAGAGAGGTCCGGGACGGATATACTGTGGGGCAGTCGGTGACTTGAAACGCGTTGCCGACAAAATATAGTATCGCTTGGTGGAATGCGAGAGCCCCATGCACAAAGGGTTTGATTGAACGAAGATGCTTCGGCAAACAATGCACCTGCTACTGTGACGGACGAAACATCCCATGGTGACAAGTCTTGGTCAAAGGATGATGCCTTCCTAAACATTGGATGTAGCATTGCAGAACATGTTTCTCATGTCAGTAACAGAAGATCGAAGACTCTTATTTCGCGGAGCAAACTGTCCATACGGGTTACAGAGGAAACGTCCCCATGATGACAAGTCATAATTGAAAGACGTCGCTTTGTTGAACATGACTCCCATGTTTGTGACCGAGGAAACATCCCACGATGACAAGTGACATCTTGTTGTCATAAGAGACATTCCATGATTGACGAATTCCCCCTGAATGATGAATGCGAGCGCAAGAACATATAACTCATGTCTGACACAGAGAAGACATCCCAATTTGAAATGTCTTCGTTGAACGTATCACGACCCTTGAACAGATCGGACATACTCGTCACACCTTCGGTGAAGCACCAGTCTGTGATTAAACCATATTGGGTCTCGATGGATGCCTTCAACGCGGGGTCGAACCAGCTGGAAACGAATATGGATTGCAATGATTAACGTTCCCCATGGCGAATCGGTATTGCTTGTGCATGGATATATTGACAATCGAAAACAAGGTCAGCAGGCCACTGGGGACAAGAAACTAATAATACGATATCTAATACTTAAAATTGAGGTTCTGTGACTACTGACATAAGCGCATATCATGCAACCTTTTCGGGAACATTATGTGATGCCTTAGTCTCGACGACTTGTAAAGACTGGAGAAGAGTTGCTGCTGCTACTGCTGCTCTTCTTGGAAGACTTGCTAGATGAGTTACTGTCATCAGTCTTGGACTTTTTCGATGACTTTGGTGTTGAGGATGAAGACGATGACGACAAGAATCGTGCTCTCACGAGTGGTTTGTAATGGGTGTCCTCGTCCTCGACAATTGTGTTCAGTTCTCGAACTTTCAATTCCGCACTCGCACCACCGATGAAGAGTGCAAGTACTAGTAGACTGATCAGAAATTGGCGCATATTGTTGGTTTTTGCTAGATGATTCATTCAGATGATCAGTGATGGATGATGGGTGGAATGTACGACCGAATTTTGCAAGACCGAAGTACAAAAAAGAAGAAAGAAAGCAAATTGTGAGCAACAATCAGAATCATAAAACACCCACATCGATAGTGTTTTGTTCAGCATTCCATCAGATATCACGAGCACCAACGTTTCGTACCGATAGTTCAGAGGATGGATCGCTAAAGGAAAATGAAAAGTTAAAACCAAAAGTGCGAATTTGCAATGGTGTGCGTGATGAAAGAGTATATGAGGCATCGCAGAATTCTTTCCCAATTTTTGGCCCTTGCATCTAATATTGTTTCTAGTCAACATTTTTGGCCATCTTTAGCACGCGCATGAGCACGCGTCGCATATAGACGAGAAATGGATTTTAGTATTGCACACGCATCATCTTATTATATATATCGCCGAAGGAATCCCAAAAAGGTGCAGGAACCAAATAGTCAGCTTTCCAAAATCAATCTTGGAGCTGTCCAGCACAAAACCCAATATCAGCTGACTTTCATCATGCTTCAACAACACTGGACTTCCGAGGCTACCCTGATTCCAACTACAGGAGATGATTTGAACAACAGCAACAGCAGGACGAGCAATCGTCGTCATCAAGCGCAACATGCTGCTGGAGCTCTTGCGAGTCGTCTCGGTTTGGATTCATCTTTTCTTCAACAATGTTCGACTTCTAACTTATCATCTGCCGCATTTGGGATCGCATCGCAAGTTGGATCACGGGTTGGGGACGCAATTGAGTTGATTCATCCTCATCAAAAGAGAGGAGGACGAGTTGTTGTTGCAAACGATGATTCCATGATTCTTGAAACATCCAATACGTCTCCAGTACGATGGAAACAATACATTCCCTTTGATACCAATCGATTTGCAGTGGGTCGAGTGTCAGTTAGCGACTATGATGAGGATTCAACAAGCAGCACCAGCAACGACCCCCAGCAGTGCGGCATTCTTGTTGTTACTGGATTCTGCAAGGAGCTTCACGAACTCCCCGTGTGATGGCAGGACAATGCTGAATTTTAAAAATCAAGCAGCCTACAGCATCGCTGGACATCCAACGGTCCATTCACGTGTCGCATATCCGCCCTCAAGCTCTCTCTCCATGTTCCATGTATAATAGGCTTGTCGGTGGAAGCAAAAATGCGAAACTATGGGGCGTACTTCAATAGTCCTCTGAGCAGTTACAGGTTACAGATGCTTACTACGCTGTATCACTATCGTTGGGCAACATTGTGGTGTACCTACTTCGTTTCATAACAAAAACATGTATTATCGTATTATAAAACCTAATTTGTAACAGAGGGCGCCTTTCGCTCTTGGACATCATGCCATGACGTATCCGCACTTTTTTTCTTTTCTTCTTAATTTCCCTAGAATAATTGTACTGTACCAGATAATATATTTACCAACGGCGACTTGTGGTGGTGGGGGACGACACACTTGTGGGCGAAGTCAGGCTTGATGGCGAAGAGACACTGGATGGAGTAGTGACACTTGGGGCAGTTGGGGAAGAAGGAGAACTATCCGAAGATGACTTCTTGGAAGACTTGGAACCCGATGAAGAATCACCAGTCTTGGACTTTTTGGAAGACTTTGGAGTGGAAGAACTACTTGAAAGGAATCGTGCTCGGACAACTGGTTTGAATCGGGTTTCATCTGGATCGGCCATATCGGCAATCTCTGCGAGATCACGAACCCTCAATTGTGCAGCCGACATGGCAATAAGAGCAAAGAATAGTGCAAGGAATAGAGAACGCATCATATTGATTGATCGATTGATTGATTGATTGATTATGATGAACAATAACTGTAGATTGATTGGAAGAAAAAGGAAACAAGTCTGTGAGATTTCGTTTGCCTTTCAGGAATGGAATGTGTCTATTGCACAAGCAACGAATCGTTGCTGCTTTCGTACCTTTTGGGTTTTGTAGTTTGTAGGTAGTATAGAAGCGGTGAAGAAAGGGCCGGTTCAAATGGCAACAACCACAGACTGCGGAAGATGATGATGATGGGAAATTATTAAAATAGCATGCGAAGCTTGTTCAGTCTTTACGTACCTACAGTACGATTTTCTACCTTGCCTTCATCTCAATAAATACCGTGCCGTCTGCATCACCTATTCAGCCGATGGCACGTGACACACTTATCCATCGTCTTAAATACAAGGATTCTTCAGTTAACGTTGTGACCCTCAACTGGACGAAAATCTGTCCTATTGGAGTTTCTGTGCTATATTTCTTGTGCATCACAACGTTCGAGTATGTCTTGCATGCGTGTCGATCCATCATAAAACCTACAGGTATGAAGATAGCATTCAGGTTCGTCGCACGAATCATTTCAGTTGCGGACAGAAAGATTTGGAAATAGGACGCCCCGAAAAATTGGAAAATCTATAACAACGCGATGAAATGTCAAAAGTTTCTGTTGCAAGAACGATCACAGAAGAATGGGTATCGGACCCTTTGGATCGTGTTTCTTTTCCTTTCGCCGAAGAAACATAGAAGCACCATGATTTTGATCTTGAATCGCAACAGTAAGATGCAAGACCTGGACAAACCGTGACCAAACAAGAAGTACGAACGTCATTGTTCCTCCTTCATCCTCCTTTTGGATGATGCTTCTTCTTGCTTATTGTTCGCAACTGGGATGCGGGCATGAACATTTATATAGAGTAGAGCAAGAGATCCAACTGACTTCAGAATGAATGAGGCAATTGCAAAACCACATCCAGCTAATGACGAAAGCTCATGAAATGTACCAAGCTTTGTTGTTGGTCGGAGCACCAGTCACAAAAAAACACACCTTGAGAAGAAACAATCCTATCAAGATGCTGCTGATGTTTTTCTTTTTGTTGGGTGCACAAGGGTCTGGTACTCCTTCGGTTGCCACCATGTGCTACTTCTTGTTCTTGTGACTGGCTGGCTCCCTGACTCCTCGTCAGTATAGTATACTTTATATACGTGAGAAGTCGATGCAATGGATGGTACATTGCTGTGATGCGATGATTCATTCTATACTCTTCCATCATCATGGATCAACATTATTCTGAAATCATGATCATCATCATCATCATCATCAAGTTCTTGTGTTGTTGCTGCGTATTGTGCTCCTGACCACGACGATGACGACACAGTCCGTTTGATGAGGCGGCGAGCGACTTTTAAAATTTGTAAATGTCATGTCCTGATGCGGGTCATAATGGATGCAGCAACGATGAAACAAGAGAACGCAATATCAACTCCAGAGAAGGAACGACGCATATGATATTATTACACACCGACAATGATGATATTATATTATATACATACATTCATGATGACAATCAACCCCTCACCAGGTGGAAGGCGTTTTGCCATTGTTTATTTCCATGATTTGCTGGTCATACGATTACAACGAGAGCGACGTCATGCATTGCCACGACGATGATGATCATAATCATGATACATATGACATGGCCGCAGCAGCACCTCTACTATATATATATTTGTAGTTAGTGGTGCAAAGAAGTGATCAGGAGGAAGCAAAAAGCCATTTGGAGATATTCAACATGACCAATAGCCCTCAGATTGTCATTCCATCAAACAAGTACCCCCATTATACCAAGGATTATACCCTATACAAAATGTACCGCCATGGCATAGTACCAAGTACTGGTTGTGTATGTTTTTGCCATCGGTCATATAAAATGTACCGTACACGGTACCTCTTCATTCCCACCAAAATCCATCGTCCAATCACACTCTCGCCATCTCAATATCCTGTTTCAAATCGAAAGCTGGCACATCCAGCTATTTATGGCCGTGACGGTTTCAACGGGGAAAATACCATGGGTTACCCACACTGGCCAGCTTGCAATAATGGTCGAGCCGTCACGTCCACGTGCCAAACGAATGACCAAGAATGAACCAAATATGACAATATAAAAAAAACGCGACTGTTTTCCAAAGTGTTCAAAATTAGTATTAATATTGGACATATTATTATTGCAATTGTTTGCGAGAAACACCACCAGAACAACAACAACAACAACAACAACAAAGAATACAGCAACAATAATATCATACAGCAAGAATGGCAGAACATAGCCCATTCTATAAATCGTTGGATGAAATGATTGCCGAAGATGAGCAAAAGAAGAACGCTCAAAGTCAACAACAACAAAGACAGCAACAACAGCAACAACAGCAACAGCAACAACAAACAAAAGGCGATCCTTCTAACATTCCCGATCAGGTCGTTTGGGGAAACCACCAATCGCACGATGATGGCGTCAGTCTCATTAGCATGCCCACCGCTCTGCAGCACTCGTATTTCAATGCCAATCAAACGACGCACGACATGAGGACCTATGGTCAACCTGATCATCATGATCCATATTATTACGGTCAGATACAACAACCACAGCAACCACAGCAACCACAGCAACAACAACAACAGCAAACGGGTGAATCCAGTCAAGCCATTGAAGTCAAACTCAAAGGAGGAACGACGGACGACAATGGGACCATTTCTGGTCCACTCAGTCCTCGCCGGGATGAAATCATTTCAACGACTACTCCTGCTGTTGCTGCGGCGGCACCTTCCAAAGGACATGTCCGTCATCCCAGCAACAATTACTTTGACGATGGTGATACAGCTCCCGGGTTTCCCAATCGAAGTATGCGATCTTTGGAACCAGGGCAAGGCGGTCAACAAGGTGGTCAACCTCCCAATCTTTTGGGACCACCACAACCACAACAACCACAACAACCACAACAACAGGCATCTGACATTTTGGAACCCTACTATCCACCCGAACCACCAGAAGTACCACAAGTCAGTGGCGTTGGTGGTAGTGCACCTCCACGACCATATTCCCACCATACCTACGTCCGGGATCCGGCCCAGTACCATAGCAACGACAACGACGTCGACGCACCCTTTGGACCGATTGACGATTTGCGAATACCGCTGGGATTGAGCAGCGCACCGTCCAGTCCAATCGATGGACAGCAATCACCACAATCTGGTATGGGACTCAATTTGCAAGACAATGACCCTAATAACAACAATCCAGATCCAACACCAAGTTGGCGCAAATGGCTCATCATCATCATTGCCATTTTGGCGGTCGGTGCCATTGCCTTTGCCGTGGTCCTTTTGGTCCAAGGTGGTGATGGTGACGATACTAAAAGTAACAACAACAACAATGGCATTGATTTTGTACCACCCAACCGCACTCCTGCACCCACCAACACGCCACCCAGCGTTCCACCCTCGACCAGTCCCACGGAAGAAATTGTGTACGATCCACCGTCGGTGCAAGATTGTGAGGCCATCTTATCCGGAAGGGCCGTGCCTGGACAAGTCAACATGATTGAACGTTTGTATGAAATTCCATTTGATATTGTCATCAACGAAGGTACCGAATTGATTGGGTTCTTGAATCAATTCATGGAAGGGATTCGGACCTTGGTCGTTCCAGCCTTGACCCAATGCGATACTGTATTGCCAGCCGGTTTGCGACAACGAAGACAAAGACGACATTTGAGGGATATTAGCAATGTGGTGGCCAATGCCGTGGCCACGGGAGAATATTCCGACGAACCCTGCAGTCGAAACAATGCGGCCTTGTTTTGTCAACGCATCGTGGTCAATTTTGCGCTCTATTTGAAAGGAGACGAACGAAATTTGGACATTGCCATTTTGATTCGCAATGCCATTGCGGGGACGGATGGATCGTCGTCTGGTGATTCCAGCTTGTTGGAACGATTTGGATTGCTGGGCAAGGCCAACAGCGTCCAAGCCACAGAAGTGGTCAATCTCAATCCCACCGAATCTCCCAGTTCCAGTCCGACCAATCTTCCAAGCGTATCGCCCAGTGCCAGTCCCTCCAAAATTCCAACCAGATCGCCCAGCAATTCTCCCACCTTATTTCCCACGACATCCATGCCATCCAAAACTCCTTCCTTTTCTCCCACCAAAATGCCATCTTCGCAACCATCCTGTTCCGAGACGGCTTCTTGGTTGGACACGGAAATTGATTCGACGCCCTTGAGGAGTGGTGGATTGGTCACCTATTCGCTCAATTGTGCCGATGCGACCGATGGGATTGCCGTTCTTGTGTGGGATGGGATTGACAAATGTACCACGCAATGCCTTGGATATTTGGATCAAGCGGATTCCGATGGGACCTGTTCCACTTCCACGCAATTCATTGTATCCTTCAACGTTCCAGATGGTCAAGATGTTACTACCTCCTCCTTTTTGATTGGGACCATGGATCCCATCACGGCTGGGTCCTTTTCCTTGACGTGTCCAGGATCCATCCTAGCATCCGAATCGCCCTCCAGCAATCCGTCTGCTGGTCCTACGCAACTTCCATCGATCCAGCCATCGTTTGCACCATCACAGGTACCATCCATTGGGCCATCCATGGAACCATCCATGATTCCTTCCATGAGACCATCCAGTGTACCTTCCATGAAACCATCGCGAGTGCCAACCAATCCACCCAGTGAATCACCATCGAGGAATCCAAGCGAATCACCCACGGATTCACCTTCCAGGAATCCAACCTCTGGACCGACGTTGAGACCAACACCCTCACCCACCATTTCTGCTTCCAAACAACCAACTGCCAATCCATCGCCGGCACCCACAGTCATGGCATCATTGACACCATCGGCTACGCCATCGAATCGACCCAGCAGCGGACCGTCCAGTGCCCCGAGCAAAACCTCCAGCGGTACACCCACAACGGCACCAAGTGTGGCTCCCAGCAAACGTCCTTCGCAGAATCCCACTGGAATGCCCACCAATGGTCCCACCAAAAATCCAACGTTTGGGCCCACAATGGCTCCCTCCCATAATCCTACTTCGGGTCCTACCAAAAATCCTACCAGTGGTCCTACCTTGGCACCGGTTCCAGGTCCGACCGATGCTCCCATTACCAATGCACCGACAAAAGCACCCACCTCGGGTCCGACCTCGAATCCGACGACCAGTCCACCATCAAAAGCACCGAGTGCAAGTCCAAGCATTAGCAATGTGCCCAGTGTAGTATCATTGACGCCCTAGCTAGACGGAAGAAAAAAAATGAAATACTAGAAATACTAGTCCAATAATAAAAAATTACAACTGTTAAAATTTGAAACCTCTCATGAAAGGACGACAAAAAGTAGTATTGTATTTCATATGATGCCTTTAGTTTGATCAATAATAAGTGTGCAATGATGCATAATTTGGTCTCGTAGTTTCTACCTTTCGATCTCCTTCCTGGTTATATATTATATCAAGAAGTCATTGCTACTAACTATCTATTTCCGACATCCTCGACTGGCCAACCAAAATCCATCAGTGTGACTGCTCAAAGCGGTGCGGCGGGTACCATCCAATCCACAAAGACTGCGCCATCTTTGGTGGACTTCTTCCAACACTTGCAACGCTTGATCCACTGTTCGAGGCGTTTCCGAACCCAAGGAGTTTACAGCCTTGCCATCGCTCGTCTTGTAATACTTCCACCAATGAACAATCTTGGCAATGGTTCCAGGCTTGATGGTTTCCAAATCGTCCATATTGTGAATCCGAGATGAGTCGGGATCCGATAGAGCAATGCACAGAATCTTGTGATCCATTTCACCTTCATCGATCAATTCCAAGGATCCCAAGACACGGCAAGGTGTCACACTTCCCATCTTCAATGGAGTGCTTCCAAGTTCCATAACATCGATCGGGTCATTGTCACCACCAAAACCGCCTGTCTTCAAATCAGGATCTTCCCACGTTTGAGGAGCAAGTCCGTAGTTGAAGAACGTTGTGCCGTATGTGTAATAGCGAGGAGACCCATCCTTGTTGGAAACTTGAATGATTGGATTGCCGGGAGTGCTCTTGTCGACTTCCATCTTGGCAGCCACGTACATTGGGATTTCTGTCACCATGTTGATGATTCCCTTTTCATTCTTGTGGGAAGATGGCATGTACTCGACATCGTGCCAATAACTGAAAAATCCAAAAATAAGTTCACTGCTAACACTGCTAGCGCTCTTGATGGCAGTCAATGAAGTGGTGTCGTTGTCAGAAGAAATGGTTTCGTTCGTATACGATACAGGAGAGAATATAATCTCTTCTCGCCTGATATCTTGGTTTATTACCATTATTGGAAGTAGCATGAGGAATGCCAGTCCCAACATCATACCTATAAGTGCCTGCTCTTGGAGCTTCATACTGTGCTTCACCTTACTGCTGAGGATTCTTCAGATGGAACAAGGAAAAGCTTTGGAGGCCTCCAAAATATAAACGGCTTTCACTTTCGGGAGAAATATGCATCGGATACGGTATTGTTGCGAGATATTGTTATGTGTCTGTTCACGGTTATGGTGATGATGGTGCAATCGAAATGAATATATGGAGACGATGAAATGAAGAAAACAGAAAAAGATCGCGATGACGTTTTTATGTAGTCGGACCAGTCCAAATTATTGACGCTAAGCAAGTACACTCGAAGTCCTGTTGGAGATCTTTATATATCCATTGTTGCGGAGCATCGATGCACTATGCTCCGCAAGTAGAGACCGAGTGTGACGCCCCAGAGCAATAGTTTTTCAGAAAGTTAAAATAGATCAATTAGAAGCGAAAATAGTGTAAATTGATGCCCTTATTTTATTAGGTGTGCAATGACGTATGTTTCCTTGGGATTACAAGTATTGCTCCCCCCATCGGTTGTTGTCTATTTCCTACATCCTTGACTGGCCAACCAAAATCCATCAGTGTGACTGCTCAAAGCGGTGCGGCGGGTACCATCCAATCCACAAAGACTGCGCCATCTTTGGTGGACTTCTTCCAACACTTGCAACGCTTGATCCACTGTTCGAGGCGTTTCCGAACCCAAGGAGTTTACAGCCTTGCCATCGCTCGTCTTGTAATACTTCCACCAATGAACAATCTTGGCAATGGTTCCAGGCTTGATGGTTTCCAAATCGTCCATATTGTGAATCCGAGATGAGTCGGGATCCGATAGAGCAATGCACAGAATCTTGTGATCCATTTCACCTTCATCGATCAATTCCAAGGATCCCAAGACACGGCAAGGTGTCACACTTCCCATCTTCAATGGAGTGCTTCCAAGTTCCATAACATCGATCGGGTCATTGTCACCACCAAAACCGCCTGTCTTCAAATCAGGATCTTCCCACGTTTGAGGAGCAAGTCCGTAGTTGAAGAACGTTGTGCCGTATGTGTAATAGCGAGGAGACCCATCCTTGTTGGAATCTTGAATGATTGGATTGCCGGGAGTGCTCTTGTCGACTTCCATCTTGGCAGCCACGTACATTGGGATTTCTGTCACCATGTTGATGATTCCCTTTTCATTCTTGTGGGCAGATGGCATGTACTCGACATCGTGCCAATAACTGGCAGAACCGGCATTCTGCATGGCAAAGGTGGAAAATCCGAAAGATCCAGTGGAGACCGTTCCTTCGGCAGCTGGTGCCTCGACATGTGGTTGCGACCAGGGGATCCATCGAGTGGTATTTTGAATGTTCTTGTAGTAATCGACGACCAAATCCCATCCATCTGGAACCATAAATCCGGAAGGAATGCAGTTGGCTTCCACCAAGTCGGTTGGAATGTCCGTAGGCGAGCATGGAACGGCCCCATTTCGAGCGAGCAATCGCATCTTGGTTCCCGAAATGCTGATAAAGTCCTGCATTCGTGATTCGTCCGGAATCTTCATGACATTGTCGGAAACATCGTACATGACCTTGACAAAAGACAACATTTTCATATTCTCAATGCCGGGCGAGTTTTGCAAGACATATCGTCCGTGGTTCCCATCGTACAAATCGTCGTCTTGATGTGCCACGGCCTCCATACTTCCCTTCATTCCAGCTGGATCGCGACCCACCACAAAGTAGGAAGCGCCCGCACAACGTCTGGACTTGGCATGGAATTGGACTTCGGTTGGTCCGGCATAGATCATGGGAGCTGGCCAAATGGCCATGACGGTGGAAGCTGGATCCAAACCACCTGGATGGTCGGTTCCCATTTTCAAGACTTCTTCGTGCTGTTTGACGCGAACATCCAAAGGAACATCGTCCGATTTGGTCCAACCACCCAACGGAGACAACCACAAGACTGGATTTTCATACCCTTGACGCTTCAAGTCTTCTCCGGCCGATTTCATCAAGTATGCGTGACCCGCATGAGTAGGATTTCTGGTTTGAAAGGCATAGACGGTATCGGCACCCTTGTCATCAAACTCTTGGAGCAATTCAGTGGTAGTCTTGCGCCATTGATCCAATCCATCATTGTAGACAATTCGTTCGAGCAATTCGATTTCACCGCCAATCAAGTAGTCACCTCCATTATAGATATTTTGAATGTAGGGATGTCCCATATCAATCACCCCAAACATGCGTGTCACAATCTCTTCCTTTCGATTTTCATAAATCTCGACATTGCGGAGAATGGCAATCGTCTTGCCCATTCGTGTCACCAAAGCAACATCTTGCTTCCCAGATTGTTCAATCGATTCCTTGGTATATTCCGTGAGCGACAATGTGAGTGGAATAGGCATGCTGACTCGGTGATTCGGCCGGAATTCATTGAAATCCTCAAATTTGGTTTTCGTCGTCAGCTTGTCACCATTGCCGGTGATGTTGAAGGGATCCACGAGGAGCGAATTGAAATGAAGCGTTTCGAGCAAGATTCCTTCTCTCATGAATCCAGTGAGCGGTGCCGCCCATCCTTCGGCGATGGTTTGCAACCAATTCAAATCAATGTCCGTCAGCAATACTTTGGGAAGTGCGGCGGCTTCGGCTTGTTTGGAAGGCGCCTCGGTGGGACTCACGAGAAGATCCACAATCAAATCACCATCGGGATTGGGCAAACCGGGTGGTGTCACCTTGGGTGGTCCCATTAAGATACCGTCCTTTTCCAAGCGTTGCAACAAAATCTTGGCCGATTCTTCAATTTTAAGTTCGTGTGTTTTCAAAGTAATTTCCGGATCCAATGGTTCTTCGTAAGGATCATCAATGCAGGTAAAGTGCTTCAATTCTCCCGATTCGACACGGGCATATTGTCCCTTTGGATCTCTTGCTTTCAATTCGTCAATGGGGACATCCAAAAAGATCTCATAAAAGGGAATTCCTTGATCTTCGTGTCGCTTGCGGACCAAATCCCGATCCCCACGATAGGGTGAAATCAAACCCACCAACGTAATGACACCGGCGTCGCTAAACAGGGTGGACAATTCTCCGGTACGTCGAACACTTTCGGCCCGATCCGCTTCGGTAAAGGTCAAGTCTCGATTGAGTCCAGTTCGCAAATTGTCCCCATCCAATCGATACACGTGTTTGCCATGTATTTTGACGAGCAAATCTTCCAAGGCAGTGGCAATGGTGGTTTTGCCAGCCCCCGAACATCCCGTCATCCACAGGGTGGCACCCTTTTGACCCAATGCCGTGTACCGTTCTTGTTTGGGCAAATGACAGGCATCTTGCGATTCGCCAGCTTTGGCGGAGGAACATTCGATAATGTGTGGTGGTGTCGAATCCAAGGCATCTTGACGGAGTTTGCCCATTAATTCATTGGGATCATCGATACTGGTAGTCGAAGAAGAAGTAGTAGTAGTAGTACTTGGTTCGGGACACTTGGGGCATTCGGGGCACGATGCGGATGCGACGGCTGCAAGACTCTCGGGAGCGGCTTCTGGGACCATGTTCATATTCACATTGGCATTGGCAGTAGTGGCAGCAGCATTAGTTTCTACTGGTTGTACCATGCTTGGTTTGGGATACACTTCGGTATGATGAGTGGTAGTAGTGGTACCAAATTGCGGAGTGGTTGTATCACCACTGACAGCACTACTACTAGTAGTAGTAGTGGAAGCACTATCCATGGCTCTCAAGGAATGTTGCTGCTGCAATTGTTCTTGTGGTTGCAAATCAATATCGCCACTTCCCTTGGACAAGACAAACACAATGGCAAGCAAGACACAAATGGCCACACACATGGGCATGCGTTCCTGCACGAGTTGATCGTTGCCATCTTTATTATCATCACCTTGGCGTGCGTGGCTGCTGCCAGTATTGCTATTAGAATTAGTCATCATGCCACTGAGATTGTTGCCACTGCTTCCAGTTTGTCGCTTTTTGTCCTATCGCATTGCGTTGCATTGAAATTGTATTGAAATTGTATTGAAATTGCATTGAAATTGCATTGCATTGCGGATTGAATCATTGAAACACGAACCAAAACAAAACAAAAAGGTGCATCGAAAGCGAGAGGAATGAATAAACAGCGTGAGGATGAATCAGTGATGTATAGAAGAAGAGAAGCAATCCATGTATGCTCCGTCCAATAATGTACGATCCAAGGATAGGAACGCAGCAATAACGTTCAAATCAAATCTAATCAATTCAATCAAGCGTTTGCAAGCACGTGATGAAGGCATTTGTCGTTCTTACAATTTGGAGAGGCGCGTAAGCGTATTTTGCCATGGCAGTTCTTTAGGATACTAGTGGATTCGGTTACGGATTATGGATTGGACTTTGTTCCGCTCTCTTGTTGCTTTGTCTTGCCCGCTCTTTCTAAGGACAACAACAACCACGGGGCTTCACTATTGTTGCAATTCTCTAGCTAGCTCCCTCCAATGACCAAAACCCAACAACGACGTACAAAAACACGTGCCGCTCGTACGTTTTGTACCTGAAAATTATAAAGATGCATATGTTGACGGAAGATTTTTGCCGACTGGTCTGACTCAAACATCAAAACGATGTATCTGAATCGCAATCCATTTCATCGCAATTACTGACGCAGAAGGAAGGACAATATAAAGCGCGGAATGAAATCATCTCATGATATATTATACGAAATAAAACTCTAAAAAATGTCGTCTCACACGGCACTCTTTTGATATGAGAACCACAGAAACACAGAAACTCAACCTCTTTGATATGTAGTCCTATGTATTTCTAACATTATGACTAGATGCACAAGTGACAAAATGGACCAGGAGGAGTCGAAGCGAGGTCAGGATCAGATGAGGTCGGGCAGTTGGTATTGCGGAAAACCAAGCCAGCATTGGCAACTCTCGGTAGATTCCAGCCCCATGCACACAGATTCTGGTTGAAGGAACGCGCATTTCCAAACATTGCATTCATGTAAAAAACGGAAGAAACGTCCCATGATGACAGCAGGTCTTGATTGAAAGATGATGCACCGCCAAACATGACAGTCATATACTTGCAACAGAAGAAACATCCCATGACGAGATGTCGCCATTGAAAGCTGTTGCGTCGCTGAACATGTAGGTCATGTCACTCACAGAAGAGACGTCCCATGACGAAATGTCTTGATTGAAGGAAAATGCGAAGGAAAACATATATGTTCCATATCGGCAAGAACAGACAAGACATCCCATGACGACAAGTCTCCCATTGAATGATGATGCATTATAAAATATACTCCGCATGTCTCTGACAGAAGAGACATCCCATGATGAGAGATTTTGATTGAACGCTGACCCATGGAACATGAAGCTCATGCTCCCTCACAGAAGAAACATCCCAAGACGACAAGTCTCCGTTGAAGTCAGTGCGATACTTAAAAAAAGGCTTCGCATATGCTAGTTACATCTTTATCGAAGCACCAGTCCCCAATCGGACCATACTGTGACTCGACGGATGCTTGAAATGATGGATCAAACCAATCCTCAACACGATTTGAGAGCTCAAAGTTGGATTGAAAGCATGGCCTTCCCGCTACAGCTGGGATTTCTATGGGGTTTGACGCTCCTGGAGCTTCGCTCGGACTTGACGCTCCTGGAGCTTCGCGCGGACTCGACGTTCCTGGAGCTTCGCTGGTGGAAACTGCTGATGTTGTTGGAATTGGGGACGAATCTGAATCCTTCGTCAACAACACAGCTGCCACAATTACGGCCACAACGACAATGAACAAGATCAGAAATTGAATAGTTCTTTTCCATGTGCTATATAGTCGATTGTTCTTCCACTGTAGCCATTGCGACTACGACATTGCTTCCGTCATTCTGTCGCTCCTGTTCCAGTCGCTTGACAATGGAAAGACCAATCATGCAAACATTTCATGAACAGGAAGAGCCAGTCATGGCGTTATGCGTTTCGTCCCTTTTTGGAACAGTAGAGAAAAGTAGAATCACCAAACTCGTAAATGTAGTCTTTTGTCGCATCGTTGTGCAACGGCGTCATATATGGGTATTGCTCTGTACGGTTTCTTATACAATCAGAAAGACAATTGGAACCCTACTTGGCTTCATGATGGAATAAGATGGTGATGGTTGGCTTTTCGGATGGAATCGAAGATGGAGCATGCTCGAAGTGGGAGCCATCATGCCCCCTGATTTCTACTACTTGCTACAGCTGTTTGAATCGAGCTTGGCACAACAGATGGTGCTCTCGAAAGCAAGACTTAAGCAAGGATTGGAGTCTAAGCTATGCAATATCAAAAGCAGGGATTCAGATTCCAAGTGTATTTTAAACATTGGTAATGCTCCAGCAACCCGCAAAATTTAGTGACAATAAAATGGACCGGGAGGAGTCGAAGAGAGATTAGCATTGGATTTTGTTTTATGCAATCGGTGGACCAAGCCAACACTGGCATCACTCGGGAGGCGCGAGCCCCATGCACACAGATCACGTTAGAAGATTATGATTCATTACATCTACCGGTAGAGGATTGCTGAATCTGTATCTATGCATACACGTGTATATATGCTGTATGTGAGAAGATTCATTGCCGGCGTGCGTGCATGCTCGATTCAATAATGTCAACAATATATATATATACATATATATTCATACCGGCATATATCATCATCATCGTCGTCGCATGATATATTCAATATGCAGTATAATGCGAGCAGATGAATGAACGACCAATAAGCGCCGCAATAATAATCACCATTCATCATGAAGGATTGACATGAAACAATAATGAAAGCTATATGAAGACATTTGCTGTATGGATTCAACAATAACACCAACCAACAACACGCTTACACCGCGAAAACCCAAACGACATTGTTACATCTATGATAATAACACCACCAGTTACAATAATAACCGTGCTGCTGATGATGGTCGCTTCTTATTCCATAATAATATTACTCATCCTCCGCAAGATTCCATCACTCGTGTCACCATTCCGCAAGGCTCTCATATTATTGCGAAGCGAGCCTTTGAGAGTTGGATCAACCTTGAAAAAGTCGAATTTCTTTGCCCGCAGCTATGGTCCATTCGGGCTTTGGCATTCAGTGGTTGCACTTCGTTGAGAACCATGATGATGAATTCCATACCAACCTCTGTGCGTCGTATTGATGCATCGGCCTTTTGCAATTGTACGTCTTTGACGACTGTAGTACTTCCAGAAGGCTTACGGATCATTCAGAATGATACCTTTTGTGGGTGTGCATCATTGACTGAAATTAGAATCCCGGCCAATGTCAAGAAGATTTGCAAGTCAGCCTTTTATGGATGTATCTTGTTGGAGAATGTACAATTGCATAATAACGGCTTGATCACCATTGGGTCGTCGGCCTTTGGGAACTGTACCAGCCTCGAGACCATTTGCATTCCATCTACGGTAACCAGCATTGGTCAGGAATCTTTCGGATACTGTACATCTCTGGCGCAAGTGGATCTACCAGTACAACTCATCGCCTTGCATTCGAGAGCTTTTATCGGCTGTAAGAAGCTTACAACGATATCGTGGCCCAGTCGCTCCGTAGGGTATATTGGTGTATCAGCATTCCAAGATTGCACCGGTCTACGGCATTTGGAATTCCCAACAACTCATCGACTATTATTACAGTTCAAGTATTTTCAGATTCTCGTCCCCTTGATCGAAATGGTATTGCAGGGAGTACTACTGGAGGAAGACAAGAAAGAATGTAGGATCATGCTTTTAAACCAGTGGAGATCCCAGTTATTGGCCCGGTTCGAGGCTATATGTGCTTTGCCGAATGGTACAAGAAGAAAGCAAGAACGGGTACACGAGCTATTGGACCTCATGCAATACTATCGAATGGTGGAAATCACGTCGTATGTAGAGCTATCCTTGTGGAAGAAAAGTATCAATACGCAAGCGATTGAATTTCAAACTATAGAAGACAAAGTGGATCGAACACAATGCCGCTTCACTTGTGGAGCAAAAGTGGTGCTGGAGAATGTATTTCCGTTTCTTTGGGATCCAAATAACGCTTCCACTATTGCTGCCGGCAGCAATAGGACCATCATCACCACTCGTTCCATACGTCCATTCAATTCGCCTTCGTTTTGATAGCAGAATCTACACTATAAAATAAGGCATATTGCATTTCGCCTATCCAAAAATGGAAAGTCGCAAATCGCGTGCATGGGAGTATACATACTATCAGATAGTTTATTATATGTATTAGATAATGTTTTCTTACAGTGGATTTTTTTTCCATAACCACAACAACATCAACAGCAGAGAAAGGTGTCTCGAATTCCATCACCTCACAAGAAGTCGTGTTGACTTGATTTCTTCACTGTTCATTCATTCATTCCTTTACTATTCTTCACTTCCGCCCAGTATTATCCTCCTTCTTCCCCATTCCAGTATTGATAGTCTTCTTCGCCATTCCTTATGGACCATATACTTCATCTTGACCAAAGAATTCCAAACCTTTTTGTTTTTCACACACTTACTGTATCTATTATGTTTATTCAGTGGTGGTTCTTTCAAAGTACTTGGTAAACAAAAAGGAGGGCCCAAAGTCAATCTCCTTGGCCATTTTATAAAACTCCTCCCTCGAAATGAGACCATCGTGATTGAGATCAAATCGATCCATCCAATTGGCACAAATCTCTTCTGGAGTGGCCAATCGTTCGTACAAACCGGACCAATGCGAGGCCGTCCGGTCGTTAATGGGGATGCCCCCCAAAACGTACAAGCGCTTGGCAAAATGAAGTAGCTCTTCTTGACTGATGCTCCCATTGTTGTGCAAATCAATGGCCCGGAAGTACAATTCGGCCTTGGCGTTTGGAAAATTGTCCCGCTTGGCAAATTCCAAAAGCAACAAAGCACGTGTGAATTCATGAAAGGTAATCTTGCCATCGTTGTTGATATCGGCTACGGACAAGACTTGTAACAAGGCTTCCTTTTCATCGTAGGTATCTTGTTCCTTGTCTCCCGCCTTGATGGACATTTTGTGAATGGCCATTTGAAGATCGTCCGTACTCATGTGGTCAGGGACGGATCGTATGGTAGACGTACTCTTGCGTTGGAGAAGGGTGACGCCAGGTGCCCTCGTCTTGTTGTCGTTGTCACTATTAGTACCACTAGTACCACTGCTATTGTCATTCTTGGCCGCATCCACACGATCTGACAAATGAACCCAACGAGTCTTGGCTTGAATCAAAATGTTGGAAATGGCATTCTCAAAGGTCGAATCCAACAAATCCTTTTCCATGGCATGAGTCGCATGGTCCAAATCGGCAATCTTGGCCACCTCGTCCAAGAGCTGATGACGTTCTTGATCTGTGAGGGAGACCCCAAAGAATTGGCGTCGGGTGTGACGAAAGCCATTGCCCAGGAATTCGCCCACCACCAGGCAACCAAGCAAGGTTAAAATGTTAAAAGTGGCCAATCCTCCTGGACCGTTGACAAATCGGTGGGCGACGACAGCGAGAATGCTACTCGAGGCATTGTAAGGATCGTAATCAATCAGTTCGTCGGGACGGTAACAGGTGAATGCCCCGGCCGTGGTACAGGCAGTGACATAGGCAGCCATGCGTCGGCCACGTGCTGAGGATGCTGATGAGGAGGAGGAGGAGGATGCTCGACCAATGGTGGATGCGAACCAACGCTTGTTGGCAGCAATTTGTTGCTGTTGTAGTTGTTGCCAACGAGACAGCAAATGTTGACCCGAGCTTCTCAGCATGATGATGATGATGGTTTATATGTGATGACAGTGCTGAAACTAAAGCTGATGCTGGGATGCTGAAACTAAAGCTGATGCTGAATCGTATTAGGTACTGTATACTATTGCCTGTTTGAATAGTGAAGGAATATATATTAAAATTACAGTACCGGTACAGCAATGATGCAAAATTGAAAATGACGATGAGAATGCTTCTTTTGACATCTCGGTCATAAGTGACGCATTCTTCTCCGTTCGCGTCGCATAGTGCATGCGCGCAGCGTATCTTCCAGCAGTTTTGGGGGTTCGCAAATTTTTCGAAGGATGGAGGGAAGGACCGGCTTCGTTCCATGTATCAGCCTAGCTAGAAGAACTATAAATATATAGCATTGCTGCTGCTGCTAGCTTTCTTGGAAAACATGTAGTTTATAGTAGTGCATATGGGTCTTTTTCGTTTGGTTGTTGTGGTTGTTATTAGTGTTATTATTAGTGTTATTATTAGTGTTGTGATTAGTGTTATTAGTATTATTATTGTGCTGTGGCTCCCATCATGATATATATTGTCATCCCAGAAAATAAGGCTTCTGGAAATCAAAATCGTGATGGTGGGTAGTGATACGTAGTATTGGTAGCGATGACAAAGATCATGTGGTGGTGTGGTGTGGTGTGCGGCTCCTGCTGCTGTGGCTGCTGGTTTGGTTTTATCATTATATATGTGAGATGATCTGCAGTTGTAGCGTTTGTCTGTCTGTATATGCTGCAGATTATCCATATATATATAATATGGTAAAACCATCAAAAAAGTTGAATGACTCTATGCGCAATAATATAAGAGATGACGATGATCATGCTCTCATATTGCAAGTCTATCACTTTTTACCCGCCATCAACACCGACACCACCAAAATCATGTCATATCATGGTAAGTAGATGCTAGTCTACGACGCTGCCGATGATGATGATGATGATGATTGTGGTGCGCCATCTTCTGTAGTGGGAGTCAATATCTTTGTCTTTTTGACAGAAGCTTGCGTCGCCGCAGCATCCGATGAGAATGATGTTTCATAATTCCCTTCTTGGACAACTTTTTGGATCAACAATTCTTCCAAGGCCCGTTTCCTTGGTGTTGTTGTTGTTGTTGTATCAACAGAAATAGAAGTAGCAGTGGTAGGAATTGACGCTGCTGCTGCTGCTGCTGCTGCTACAGTTGTTGTTGCTGCTGCTGCTGCTGCTACCGCTACTTTTGCTGGTGCAACCTCCTTTTTCTGTTCCAACAAGATATACTTGTACAGTAAAAACTTGACCGTGGGCCTCAAGATAGATTCGTGAATGGTAAAGAAATAAAAGAGCGCCGTTGGATCATCCTTCAGGGCATCCAAAAAGGCAATCAATTTTTGTTTGGTAGGACTTCGAATGAGATCCCCTCGATTGGCGGCATTCAATTCAATCAGCGAATTGAATTTGGCTTGATAGGTATCGTGGTCCTAAAGACATATTGAAGAAGGAGAAAGCAAGAAAGAAAGAAAGACGTATTGTTAGATCATAGTTCAAACAATACCGTCCATATCACCAATCAACAATCAACAATCAATAATCAACAATCCATATCAATGTATCCAAAATATAACTTACCACCAAGACGCTGCACCACAACGAGTAATTTCGTTCCAAAGCTCCCAAAATGGCCGCAAATCCAGTTGTGGTAATCTCATCATTTTGACGTAAATCCAACGATGTCAAAAAGCTATTTCCACTCAATGATTCCGCAATGATGAAACATTGTTCGTCTTTCAAATGCATGGACCTCAAACTCAAATCTTGAATCGTCGTGGATCCTTGCAACAATTCTTGCAATCCATCTTCAATCATGGGAATGTCCCGTTGAGGAGCACAAATGGAATCTCCCTTTTTGGCCGCAGACAAGGAAAGACTCCTCAAATTGGGCATTTCGCAGCAGGCTTCAATGGCAGGATCCAAAGTAATATCAGGAGAGACGTACAGTCCAGTCAATCGTAATTCTTCCAGGGACTCTTGCAATTTCAAAAAATCTTCCAATATTTCCACTTGTTCGATGGACGTCAATTGCAATCGTTGCAAATCCAAAATTTGCAAATTCCGTGCCTGGATCATCTTGTCAAAGAATATTTCCGTGTCGATGCTGCCCCGATCCTTCCGCGGGACGTACCCGTCGCTGATGATCAAGGTCCGCAAGCCTTCCAGAGACGCTACCAGACTGAACAATTTGCCTTGTTCTTGTACCATGCTCAAGAATTGGTGTCCAATTTCCACACGCTGAATGGACCAATTGAGTGGCAATACGGTTTGCAAGGATTCCATGAAGCGATCAAATTCATCCTGCTGTCGCAATGTCTCGTTGATGAACAAATACAGGGCGTCCAGTTTGTTGTCTTCTATGCGTTCCAGTAGACTGTCCATTTTAGTTTCAGTTTCAGTTTCAGTTTTCGTTGCAGTTGTGTACCGGTATATATTACTGTACGTGGTTTGTTTGTGAGCTTCAAACGCTGCGCTTCTGATCTCTCCAATGTATACTACAAGAACGCTTATTATAATATATGTAAGCACGTGCCTCTTTTGTTGTTGTTGTTGTTGTTGTTGGTACCTACTAATGTGAATTCAATGACGCCAAAAGTCTGTTTGCTTTTGGAAATGCTGTGAACGTACAGTATATCCCTAATGCTGTTTGAATGAATGAATGAATGAAATTGAATATGAATACTGCATGTGTGCATGAGAACAACGAGCTACTCTCTAGCTAGGTGCAATCGAACGTTTGCCACGCCAAAGGAAAAAGGAAAAAGAAAAAACACAACGCACCAATCAGGACGCAAACGAACATATGCAGTGACATCACAATTGAAGTTTGAGCCCAAAACCGAAGTGACGCCATATTGCCTCCTATTTTCCTAAGTAAAGGACATAAGAGCGCGTCGATCTGTTAAGTAAAACGACGTCACAAAATCAATATGATTCGTGTCCTACCGGTATGCGAATTAAAAATTATTTTCGTGTACCGGTACACCACCACGTACCCCAATTTGCAAAAAGGAGGATTGAAATTTGCGTGCGTACGTGTAATGTTATAATATGTAAAATATATATCTACGTACACAAACACAAAATACCGTCAGCGACACAAAACACGCATGTGGAGAAACTGACCCAAGCGCGTAGCATTGCTAGCAGAAAACGACCACAACGGCATGTTCAACATGCAATGTTCAATGTGCAGAAAACAACCCTCCGGGAGATGAGTCAAAATCGAAAACTCCTCGAGTGACCCCATAATAAGTTTGTCGGGAGAAAACAATGGAACATGAAAAATATACGCGGTAATTACTTTCTTAACGAATCTTTTGAATCAGTCGAACTGATCCATTCGCATTTTGACACATCAGTGAAAAATATCTGTGTAGCCATCATACAGAAAAAATGTACTGGTATTTTTTTTGATACATCAGAACTTTTTCCTACGAGAGACGCCACAGGGCGATTGTACCAGAGTTATTTTGAAACACCAGTGAAAATTTCCTTAAGTAATTCATTTAACGAAACTATTTGTGGTAATATTATGTCGTAGGAACTCGTGTAGAATTTTTGGTGGTGTCGCAAAATGTATTTTTTTTTGGGACTAGTGCTGCAGAATCGAAAAAAAAATTAAATAAAAAAGATTCGTGTATGTAGAATTCCTACGAATATTCAAAACCATTGTTCTATTTTTCCTAATTTTTCCAACGAACCAATTGCTGAGCGGGCGATAAACAGCGAAGACTCGTTCGAAATTTTCGGGACCCTGAAAGGGGAATCAAAATTCCAGGGGATTTGCGATTTTGACTCATCTCCCCGGAAGCAAAGCATTCGTAGTGTACTTGGTGCGAGTACTACAGGTATACTGCCTGGTAGGTACAGTCGCCTAAAATATAAAATATAATATCTATTAAAATATGACCATGTGTGTTGTATTCATATTTTTTCCTATCTACCGGTAGTCGTCATACCGGTAGTTGTCATGGGTGCAGCAAATACCTGCTATCGTCTGCACTTTTTATTTTTCTTCATTGCCAACAATGATGTATTGTATATATTATACCACCAGAAAAAGGATTAAACATTTTTCGTTTACGCCATGGTACCCTTGATTGCCAATGACACGGCATTCTTGCATCCATCGTACATGCCAATGCTATTATTGTTCAGGACGCATTCGTTCATGGATTGCAACAAATCGGGAGATTCGCAACATAGTTGCAAGACATGGAGGGCATCTTGCACCGTTCGAGCTTCCATGGTCCCATCGCCCGTCTCACAGGCCCGACGAGCCGAATCCGCTTCGTGATCCCCCACCCGACGAATGTGCAATTTGGGAAGGGCATAAAAGGCCAATTCACTTGGTTTGCAGACCAAGACATCCGAACAGCGACACAAAATATCCGTCGTGGCCACGGCCGGAAAGTATTCCTCAAAGGCAAAGAGCGTGACTGGTTTCAAGGAGGTTTTGGGATTCTTCAAAAGGGTCGAAGCAAATTCTTCGACGCCCTTGGTATCATTGACTTCGACGTGATCAATCTTCGTCTCTTCCAAACATTCTCGAAAGGCCGCCTTCATGTGGGTATGATCACCGGCATTCAAAAAGACTTGAACCTTTCCTTCTTCCAACAAGGTTTGCAAGGCCTTGATCAAACCCACAATAAAGGTCTTTTGGGCACCGGCACCACCGACGGGAATGACCAATCGGATGGGTTGTTTCTCACTTGCCGGCAAGGTCAAATTGTCCAGTCGTCGTTTGGTGTCCGCCTCCAAATTGGTCACCATTTCGGCGGGACACCAATGTCCGGCCAATTTCATGGCCTTGGGGTCCACCCCATAACGAATGTACGATTGATAATTGACAGGACCTTGGACGCAATTCAAAGTCTTGGGAACGACCAAGAACCTGTTGATTTATGGAGCAGACACGAGATTACGACGACGACGACGACCAAAAAGAAGATTTTGGGTGGAGTTGGTAAGCGAGTATAAATCATAAATCATAAATCAAACAACAAACAACAAACAACTTTGCTTTGCTTACCATTGAGGATAATTGTCCACCACCAAGTTGACCACATTGGTAAATCCACAGGCACATGCCAAGAGAGCACAAATTTGATGGGTACAAATCATGGGAATATCCTTGGGATAGGCTCCCAAAATGGGTTGCAAATGATTGGCAAACATGGCGGCAACTCGCAAGGCATCCGCATCACCTTGCTTCATGGCCATGCCCCACAATTTTTCGACCGGTCCACCCAATTCGGTAGCCAGACGCGAAAATTTACTGTACAACGCATCGACCGAATGAATCAAGGTGGCCTCTTCGGATTCAATGTTGATCAAGTCGTGAAAAACGGTATTGTAATTTTCGCTGAGTGCCCACGAACAGGCTGAATAGGCCAATCGGTGGTGACCAAATCCCATCCGAATGGTCGCCACGACAATGGTCTGTTTGGATCGTTTGTCAATGGCACCAGTCGAAGTACGTTTGGGCAAGAGTTGGTCCATGGGAATGGCCGCATCGGCGCCATCCTCTCCGTTTTCGTTACTCTTCTTGTAGCCCGCCGCATGGGCGACGTAGAGTCCCTCGACATGGGTACTCTTGACAGCCTCCAGGGCAATGGGACTGGTAGTATTCGCCACACGATTTCCCATGCGAAAGTAATGACCGGCGGCAATCTTGACCTTGTTGGGTTTGGGCGTGCAAAAGTCGTCCATGTCGACGCCTTGTTCCTTCAATTCGTCATTGAATTTTTCGTACAAGGATCGGAGGTAGGAAGATCCCAAGACGTACAAGCCACCCGTAATGGCCAGACCTGTGACGGCAAAGGTGCCAGCCTTGACAAAGAGTTCCGATTCGAAAAGATTGTCCATTCTGTGTTATCTCTCTGTTTGTCTCTCTCTCTCTCTCTCTCTGTTTGCGTTGTTTTGTTGTTGACGTGTGTATGTATGAATGTATGTGTGTATGTATGTATGTATGTTTTTTAATATTAAAATGGAAAATGAGAATGAGAACACAGCAGTTGAGATGAGGGAAACGCCGTCATTTGAAGATACGACTTAAAACTAAGTCCTGCGGAAATAAGATCGCAACAATGATAAAGGAGTTTCATATCCTTCTGATCTGATCGAGAATAATAATCACAATAACAATTTAATATTCTTTGGGCACAAAACAGAGTTACTACTGCACTCTTACCTCTTCAAATTTCAAAAGTCAAGCAGTAGCAATAGCAATAGCAACAGCAATGGCAGCAACCACAAACGACAATATTGTATCAATCGAATCAGATCGCAAGGATCCGCACTCCATATCTACTCACACTCGATCCACGCCTTTCAGAGAGCGTCGCCGTCCGACCTCGAATAGGAATTTGGAATTTGAATGCGTATTTTTATGACCGTTGAATGTCAATCAACGCACAACCTACGCACAATTGCTACCATGAAGAGGCAGTCAGTCTCCGCACGCACGCAAGCCGAATCCAGATGTCACAGCATTCATGCGGTAATGTACAGTAGTTCGTATCTTTCCGTTTTGAATTTTCTGTTTGTTCTTTCATTTTATGAATGACAGATCAACAATAACAATCTTGCAACAACAGTAACCACAACTCGCAACAACATCAACAATCCACAAAGATGACAAGCAGCAATTTCAATGATTTGTTATTCCTCTCCAAGATGATTGGTGTCTGCATGTTTTTACTGAATGGGATTCTCGAGTTTCATCATCATCATCATCATCACGCCAGCATTGCGTCGCCGCCGCCTGAAAATGAGGGTTCTCCGGTTTATTCTGCTACATATGAGCATCATCATCATCATCATGGTATGAGTCATCCAATGTTTGTGGCTTCTTCGACCAATGGTACAGCTATTTTATGATGCAATGAGAGGTTATTGGATGTACGAGAGATCATTGATCCATTGTTGTCGTTACATCATAATATGTACTGTATACACAGCCCAATACTAGTCCAACAACAACAACAACAACAACAACAATACGACATTCTGAATGTGCATGGTGTGCATTGTGTATATGCGGTGGTAAAATGAAAGGGTGGGTGGTGGTGCTGCACCGTCGTCACCCATCATCCATTGTACGACTACCACAAAGAAATATCAGGGAAAGAAATCTTGAAAGGCGGATTGTTGTTGTATTGGATATATGCTGGAGGATTGACACACACCAACAACATAACTTTGGTCTCCATTGTCTTGAATAATCGGAGAGATAGATAAAGTACCGGTGCTGCAAACAACAACAGCAAACAAGGACAAGAGGCTTCTTACCAATCAGCCTGATGCAACCATGATGCAACCACACTCCTATCCTCGCTTATTTTTCTTATTGCAATATCATATCGATAGACATGACATCATGATATGGTCGGGTTAAGCATTGTGTATAATACAATTTTTTCACCATACATCCTGTTCACAGCAATATACTGTATATATATATATATATATATATATATATATATATGTATGATCCTTCACTTCTCCTAGTACTAGCAGCCGGCCAGTACTCTGCTGTTGAATAGTAATATCTACTGCCATATTTCTGCATCATCATCATGACGACGACAACGACGACAACGACGACAACGACTTGGGATGTCTATCTGTAAAGAGCATAATCTTTTAGATCTCGGTTGTCCGCCAATTAGAAAATCAATCATCGTCCCATCCTCCATACTGTACTGTAGGTACCACTAGTATGCACACCCATTTTCGTTCTGAAAAAGATACACTGTATGGGAGGAGATGATAAAGCAGAAATTCTGGTCCGAACTCGTGAGTGGAGTGAGTCCAAACGAATTTCAGGATTGTCAATCCCGCATTTGAAAATGACCCAAACCAAGAATTCTACGTCCATTGGTATGTAGATCCAGTACCAGGTACCACTATGACAATTAATGACTTTCGCACAAGCGTCTGATATATGGTATGTATATAAATCTTGATCGACAAAAATCGAATCCTGTGAATCGTTTTTCAGTCTTAGCAAAAAAGAAACACGCAGTTATTATCATATCTCAGGCAAAACACACCTACCTACCTACAGGAATCCTCACCGCACCTTTTATATTCATCATCACGCACGTCTGTGGAGGTAATAATCGGGCTTACGTTTAGCACCCAATTGACCTGAGAACTCGCCTCATATTGACACGTAAACAGAAGAAGCTTATTGTGACCAACTTTACATACAATAGTAATATAACAATTGACGTTCCGAGACTGACTGCCACACATATTATTTGCTGTGGTTGGTTGAATGCACCCCATGTTTCGACAACAACAGCAGCAACAGCAACAGCAACAAGGAAGACCAACTGACAATGCTCCCAGAGCGGGATCAATAGTCGGTGATGGAGTTCATGAGATGATCGCAGAAGAGTCCGAATCACAAAACTCTGGAGGCTCGGACTCGGAATCAGATACCATGAGCAACGCGACTCCCAAGCAGTCTCCCCGCTCGTCCCTTCGAAAGTCATCCTCTCCCAAAAAGTCCAAAAAGAAATCCAAAAAAGGTTCCAAAAAGCTCAAAAAGGGTTTCAAAAAGGCATTCAAGATGGCAGCCACACCGGTCATGGCAACCGGAAATGCGGTTTCCCACACGGCTTCCATGGCATCCAATCGCATGACCAGCACGGCCAGCAACTTTGTCACCAAAGTGACGGGTGACCAGCATCACATTTTTGATCAACCTTACAAATCGGACCACGACCGTAGCCATGAATCATCATCTTACAACAATAACAACAACACCAAGGGCGACAAGAAATCCAAAAAGGAATCCAAAAAGAAAAAGAAGGATTATGTGGCCGACAGTGATGACGATGACCTACTAGACCTTGACGTGGAAGTGGATGGAATGGATAATAATACTGTTTCCATGGTCAAGTACGAAAAGGTCAAGGGCCGATTGATAGATAAATCACATTTGGTGGATACCTTGCTCAGCAAGATTCAACTGCTGCAGGAAACCATTGCCGAAAAGGATGAAGTCATCTTGAGGCTCCAAAATTTGGACATTTTGGCAAGCACGATTCGAGAAAAAGAGGAAATTATTCGGAAATTGATGGCCAATGAAAAGGTTGACCAGTCGCTACTAACGGTAGACTCGAAGAGTAATGCCGACGTACTCTCGCACATTCGGACCAAGAAGATGGACTTGGAGCTTCATCGACAGTCCTACCGACGTCTTTCCACCGACGATGCCGAAACCATGCTTGGAGGGGAAGACTCCTCGGAACGCAATGATGATACCTTTATTGCTTGGCAGCGACTGGACAACGAACTCAAATCTGGAAGAGGCGTACGATCGGTTCCAATGCTGCCACAAGGAGAAATGTCACGGGCGACCTCGGCCCAACTTGAAAGAAGTAACAGATTGGAGTCGAGTGATGTCTTGCACAAAATGCGCAAGGCAAACAAGAAGAAGAACAGTCCCAAGAAAAAGGGGGCTGAACCATGGAAGGCCATGCATACATTCTTAATGCCACACTTTGAGAGGACTGTGGCCGAGAAAACGTTGATCTCCAAGGCATTGCTGCAAAACTACATCTTTGAGAGTCTCGGTCCGGCGAAAATGGACACATTTATTCAGGCCTTTGACGAGGTCCAGTTCAAAAAGGGCGATGTCATTATGCAACAGGGCGAGAAAGTGGATCACTATTACATTGTTGCCGAAGGTGAAATTTCCATCGAAAAGAATGACGAAACCAAACGACATGGACCCGCAACGGGTTTTGGAGCCACAGCTTTGCTCTATGCCTCGCCGCCAAAGACGACAGTCATTGCGGAATCGGAACCAACCAAGATGTTTCGAGTTGACGAAAAGACCTTTCGCTACACCATGAAGCGGACCGTCAAGGAAACAAATCGGCAAAAGATGACCCTCCTCAGGGATATTCCAGAGCTCAAAAGCTTTGATGCTGCGGATCTGCAACGCCTTTGTGATAACATGCTTGGTACGTTGGTGCTTATTGTGTTGCGTGCTTGTTTGCTGCCTGCTTGAATTGGATTGGATCGCTTGCAAACTCTCTGTACTTTTTGCTGACAAATTCCCAATTTTTTTCTTTCTCGTGTTGCAGATCGCAAGTTTGCCAAGGGCGAAGAAGTCATTTCACAGGATCAATCAACACCTACCTTTTATGTGGTCATGAGCGGAGCCATGACGGTCACAGCGAACAATTCCCCGTTGTTCAAGGATGGGGATTCCGAAAAGGTCATCAAAAAGGGTGGTTGCTTTGGACTGGAGGCACTCACGAAAACCTCATCCAGCCCAATAGCAAGCCTCGTAGGTCAGAAAGCTGGTTGGTGTTTTGGGATTGATTCTGCCACTTTTGAAAAAGTCTTGGGAAAATATTCGGTCCTCATCACCAAAACAAAGGACAAGGCTATCTTGCAACAAGTCAAACTCATCAAGGATGCCAAGCTGGAAGATTCGGTTCTGAACAGCTTAGCCGAAGCAATTGTACCGCGCTTCTTTGAGGCCGATTCCATCATTCAAGAAATCGACGAAATTTGTGACGCGGCACTCTACATTGTGCGGGAAGGAAGCTGTATCGTTGACACCAAAACCGTCAAAGCAGGGGAATTCTTTGGCGAAGACCAACTATTGGCGGATATCAATAAATCTGCAGACCCAAAAGGCAAGATTATTGCCAAGTTCACTGCCATGTGCAGTGAAGATGTTCGGTTTGGTGTTTTGACGTTGACAGAGTGTCGTCTACTCTTTGATACCGCTGGTGGCCCAAGCTTGCGTCTGGGACTAGAAGCTGGGCCCGGGGATGCATTGGGCGGCCGTAAACGAATGGATCATCGTGCCATCATTAGAAGACGTTCCATTGGAATGTCAATGGGAGTTGGCGGCAACAGCGGACCCGTCCCAGAAGACTTTAATCAAGACTTTGTGAATGAACGGTTAGCCATTCGAGCATTCTACAAGGGATTCAAGACAGAAGTCGACAAGCTACCACGAGATACTGTCTTGGGAGAGGGTCAGTTTGGACAAGTATGGAAAGTGACACTTAGGGAAGGCGAGCTGAAAGAAGACTTTGCTCTGAAGATTCAAGACTTGGGTGATGCCTACCAAAATGAGAGTCTAGAAAATATCTACCGGGAAATGAAGGTTATCAAGCAATTGCAGCATCCGTTCATTGTTGATTTGATTGACTCAAAGGAGACCGATACGGCGAGTTATATGCTAATGACACTGTGCACTGGGGGCGAGTTGTGGAGCGTTGTACACAAAAAGAATGACGACGGAAAATGGCAATCAGGTATGAATGACGCTGACGCCAAGTTCTACTCCATTATCATTGCCGACACATTGGCCTACATGCATCGGAAGAATGTTCTATTCCGTGACCTGAAACCGGAGAATGTCCTTTTGGATGCCGGAGGGTATCCAAATATCATTGACTTTGGATTTGCCAAAATCACGACTGAGAAGACCTATACGCTATGCGGTACTCCAAACTACATGGCTCCAGAAATTATTTTGATCAGCGGCCATCATGTCGGTGCTGATCATTGGGCACTTGGAATTATGATCTACGAACTGCTCTCGGGCGAGCACCCATTCTACTACGAAGGCTTGAACAATGCCGAATTATTTGACCTTGTGACGAAAACGGAGGCTTTCCCTTGCGAAAAGGCATCCCCAGAAGCACAGTCCCTGATGAATGGACTTCTCGAAAAGGATCCTACCCAACGGCTGGGTGTGCTGGCTGGGAAGGAACGAGATATTCTTAGACATGCTTGGTTCAAGGATCTCGATTTGGTTAAAGTGAGAAAACGAGAACTGAAGGCTCCTTGGATTCCTCCTCCTCCATAGTACTCATAAAAATTCATAGCGAAATAGACTCTGACTATTGTCATGTTGCGCTACTCTTGCAACCTAGACCCTATTTCCCATCGTGCCACTACCAGGTACTATCAAGTCGTGATACGGTTGCCAAAAATGGTGGTTTTGCCTTGTTCGACTGAGTCAAAAATGTGCGTTGCGCGCGTGCCGAGACTGAATTTCAGAATTGACACGAGTTTACCTACGTTTTTGCAACTCGAAGACATCACCGGTTCCTTCACTATCGAGGCAATCGACGATGAAAGTGTTCCACCTACTAATATCCTTGCTGTTTCTAGCAAGAACCTATGCCTTGTCTGTTTTGGAGCCGTGGCCAAATGGCACCAAGGTATTCTATTATGACAAGAGTTACGGAGAATGGATCAATGGAAAGATTCTAGAATACGATCGTCAGACAGAACTGTACACAATGAAATGGGAAGATGGAAGAACAGAGGACTCCTCCAGATTCAATGATAACGATTTATACAATATGGTCGAGAACTACGAGACACTGTGGCCCATCGGAACTCCCCTCTACAACAGTGTAAACGCTACTTTTGGAACTGTTGCTGATTTGACACAATTCGGATCCTACACCATCACTTGGGAAAATGGCGACGTCGAAAACGATCAACACTCTCTCGATAAAGTTGATACAATGGTAAAGGATTACATGGTGTACCATGAAGAAGCCGGTCTCATCCCACTTGGCACCCATGTTTACTATTACGATGAAGAGGATAAGAAATGGGATATGGGGAAAGTCACCAAGTGGACATCGACTCAAGGATACACCATCATGTGGGGTGACAATGTTACTGAAATAGGATTGTACACCGATCGAGTAATGCACGACATGGTCAATAACTACAAGAGCAAGACAGCCATTGAATCGGACGAGCCCATCCCCGAAGGAACAGGAGTCTACGACTATGACCACGAGGCTCACGCATGGTACAAGGGAACTATTACCAAGCAGTCACCTCAGTTGGGATACACTATCATGTGGGAGAACTCTGCCATTGAGGTTGCTCAATACAGTCATGATGAAGTGCGCCAGATGGTCTTGAATTTCATGAACAAGGATTTGATTTCACCGGATACGGAGATTATCCCCGTTGGCACATATGTGGAGCAAGATGGAGCTATCACAAGAATCGGACATATCAAGAGATGGACCCCGATGGATGGATACACTGTCTATTGGGAAGATGGCAGCATTGATACCAAGACTTACACCAAGGTTCAAATCGATTCCATGATGCGAGCCTACCATAACAAGAATACTGATCACTGGCCCGAAGGCACTCGATTGTATCAGCTGCACAATAACATCTGGCGAGAGGGTGTCATTTCGGATTGGTCTAGTCAGACTTCGTATATTATCACCTGGAAAGATGGCACTATCGAGAACAATGCGTACACCGGAAATGAAATGAACGAAATGGTCAAGGTAAGCGAGAAAACAATGATTGGACTGTGGCTTGTTCATGCAATTGACTGAACCATCTTTCTGATACCGTTCTACTTTCATCGCAATACTATTAGTTCGCCCACTTGTATTTGAGTGAAGATTCGCCCTACGTTGGAAACTCTATTGCAGTTGGCACACCCGTCTTTCTGAACTACGATGATGAATGGTATGAGGGGGTCATTACAGCTTACGAACCCAAGGAAGGATACACCATTACATGGTAAGTCATGGCATGCACGACAGCTGACCTATATGCAAATATTGTCTAGTGCCTTGATACTCACCTAAATATTCTCATCTCTCAGGAATCACGGTACCGAAGAAACCAACGAGTACAGCAAGTCTGAATTGGATGAAATGATTGATAACTGGAAGACCAAGCGACCTCCCTCTAAATATGGCCCATGGGTATCTTCTAACGATACGAATCCTATGTATGGCGTTTTGATCTTTTTCTGTTTCTTGGCAATCTCCGGTCCCGTCCTGATCTTGTTTCGCAAGTACGTCTTGCGACTCCGAGACGAACGCGAGATTCAGGACGACGATGGAGAGGGTGAAATTATGTTTCAAGATCCCAACGCCTTACCCAGCGATCCCAAGCTCTTGCCAGATGCCAAGGATTTTGCCTAAGATGGCTGGCGACACTAGCCAAACTATATTAGACTTTCATATGTACATTTAGTAAATACTTTCCTATCCTTTGTTACCGGTAGCAGACTATGCGTCTAGTAATAGTATCTAATAATTTAAATGAATGTGAACACTTTTTAAAAGTTATATATGTTTAGTGATGCCCTATCAATCAGCAAATGGTTATGCTAAGCCCCACAAGCAAATACTCACCAACATACAGCAGCATACCATTCAGAAATTCATCTGAATATTGGAATGATTGTTTCTGAATCATGATATCTCTCTAGCTTATCAGTTTATGCAAAGCTGTCATCGTCACTGCCGGCATTGTCTTCACCACTACTATATTCTGCTGTTTCTTCCGTCGTCCCTTCTTGCCCTTCTTTTGCGTGAGAGCTGCTCTCTGGATGTGAACTATTTAATGAAACCCACGTATCGTTGTTGGCTCGCCGATCTTGCTGTTTGGCAAATGCCAACCGTTGTTTTCTGACAGTCTTGAAGGCTGGCGGCAGTGGAGCATCAAAGCCTGTCTTCTTTTTCGCTATTTGTTTATTTAATTGAGAAGGTTTGGGCGGTGCATTCTTTTGTAACATTTGTTGTCGCAGTTTCCATGCTGGAATTGGTTTCTTGTCTTCGGCTGCCGTGCTGGTGGCTTCGGCATCATTGGAAGACATTATTCGCAAGGTCTCTTAGGGTATGGAGTAACTACAGGTTGCTTTTCTTCAGCGTGGAGTCAGAATAGGATGATACAGCCAGTGGAATACCTACGAAAAAGGGCGGGAGCTGAAGTCTTCAATTGCCATGCGGTATTGTTCCCGATGTTGAAGGTTGGTCGTCGATGACGATGACTGGGAGCTTGCCAAAAAGTCTCCCCTCATACTAATTTTTTCGTCACCGAGTCATCCACGATAGTAATGACGTGGAATCGGACGCATATCAATACGGACAAAACGGACACTTTGGTTATGTTGTTCGATTATAGGAGTCGTTTTATACCAGTCGTCACATACCGGTATATCACAAAGTAACTCTAGTACAGGTACCATGTGAGCATTTGCCATTTGTGTGGAATGTACAAATCTACAGAAAACTGATGGCCTTGGAAGTCATTGAAACTGGAGCCTTGACCGGCAAATATATATTATGCGGACGTCTTTTTCAAATGATCATACTAGTCGTCCTGCCTAGTAGTAGTAATAATGAAAACAGTCTTTGGCTGCTGCCCAGCATGAGGATGACCCAAAACAAAGATTGTTGCTTTGTTGCTTGTAGATTAGTATTGTGTGCGTCGCAATAAACTGACTGACTTATCCTCGTTGTGCTTCTTGTGCTATCTCCTCCTCCTGCACCAGCAGAGGAGTGAGTCGACCTGGTATCGGCGACAATCAGATCAGAATTCCTCATCCACAAGAATTATGGCAAAGTCCATTGCTCTTCTGATACCTTTGCACACGAGCACACGAGTACCTGGTACCGGTCCAATGGTAGTATACCATTCTCTATGGCTGATAGATAGGATCAGAATTTCGGGACCCTTACACCACGATTTATGGAGAAGTGTGGAAAGGAAATACTAGGCGTTCCTAGCTAGCCAGTAGTAGCTACCGGTAAAGCAGAACTTCCGTCTTGTTCCTACAAGGGCTTGTTCCTACCGTGCAAGAGTCGACCTCCACTGGTATCGACAATCAGATCAGAATTCCTCATCCACAAGATTTATGGCGAAGTTCATTGCTCTTCTCATAACTTTGCACACGAGCACACGACTACCGGTCCAACGGTATACCATTCTCTACCATACCTACTGTACCGTATGATAGATACAGTAGGATTAGAATTTCGGGACCTTATGATTTATGGAGAAGTGTGGCGAAGCTGCGAATTTTTCAATTCGTTATAATCGATTGGTGGCGTAGGCTCAGATGAGCTCCGTGTGTGTCTGTTCTCCGAAATGAACACTTCTGTCGTTGCCACAGTCGCGCGGGACCGACCCAAATAGGTTCTGCAAGATCGATGAGAAACAGCATTTATTGATTCAAAGGTCCACGTACCTTTTATCATGCAAACGATGCCTTGAAGTTGGTCTATCTGGTGACTTGAATCCGTTAAACATTCCACTTCTGATCAGTTTGCAGAAAGTCGCCAGCAAATGCTTCGTCATTTTCGATTTAGATGTTGATAGTCTTGTTGGTTATGTCTACATATTGAACGGTTAAAAACCGTCACGCCTAGTCACATGGCCATAAATGAGACTCTGAAAACTTCCATCGATTTTTCGGCCTTCTGGCCGGAGCATTTTACGTCTCTCCCATCGTCGTCGGCAGTACAGGTAACACAGACATTGACGCCAACAATACCCTAAGAATCCCAACGCCGTGCTGTATATTACGAGATCAACTACATCCATCAGGATAACAACAGTGTACGCCATTCGATTTTTTCTTCACGCGGTTAGCACACAATAATACAACCATACCAATAAAATATCACCTGAATACAATCAATCATCAATCGATCATCACCTATAAATAAGAATGGAAGATTCATCATCAGAGGTATTGGATGAACACAGCACATATGATGACGTTCGACTCACAGCCGATCAAGAGAAATTCTTGGCCATTCTACCGATACCGAGTGCTTTGCTCAGTGTCTTTGGATCTTCTGTCATCATCATGATGGTCGTTCAATCTTACAAAAAGAAAAAGTGGACTCCTTACACGCGGCTCTTGGTTCTAATGAGTTTGTTTGATATTCAAGGAAGCCTCACCTTTGCCGCTGGCACTTTCTTACGGCCTCGTGAGACGTCCACCAAACTATGGGCGCTTGGAGATGATGCCACTTGTGTCACAATAGGTTTTCTCCATACGATTGGGTTTTCCTCCTTTTTCTTTCAAGGCATGCTTTCGTGTTACTTTGTTTTGAGGACAAAGTTTGGATTCACGGACGACCGTATAGCAAAACAAGTGGAACCCATCATGCACGTCATTGCCATTGGGTATCCACTGTTAAGTGCGATCATGGGGGTATCGCTAAACTTGTTTGGTGAACTTGGGTCTGGACTTGGTTGCTGGGTAACGGACTATGGAGCATATTCGTGGTTCGTGTATGCGATACCCACCTTTTGCGCGATTCTCTGTCTCACGGGCAATTCCATTGTGCTCTTTCGATTCATTTGGGAACACACGCGGAGATTGACGACGAGTGGAAGTCTGCTGACGGATTCCACCCGCACCTGTGGCAAGTCGGACAGGTTCAAGGTTTCGGAACGTACTGGGAGCACGCAGAAAAATGCCAGTCAATTCATGAGTACCTCCGAGAATCAGCAATTGGATTCTATTAGTGATGACGACGACGAGGATGAGGAAGATTCCTTTCGCGACGTGGACAAGTACGAAAATACAGAAGTAACGAGACAGAGACGGAGAATGAAACTCCTTGGATCACAAGCACTCTTGTTTGTGATTTCGTATTTCATATGCAACCTTTGGACGGGCATCATGCTGTTGCAAGAGTCACAAGCCCACACGGACGAAGAAAAGCACGCCATGATGGTCAAGTACTATTCCATTGCGATGTTGCAAGCTTTCTTTCACCCGCTTCAGGGATTTTGCAATATGATGGTCTATGTCCGACCCAAATACTTGACCTTTCGGTATGGATTGCCGGACGAAAGTCGGTTTTCCGTGGCCAAATTGGCCGTCTTTGGAGAAGATGCGGAAAATCGCAATGATGATACGCCTTCACCATCTCGTCAAACAGCTCGAAGAAAAATCGAAGCACCTACTACAATGATGGTCAACACCAACAAGGAATCTTCGCCAAGACGAAACAACAAGCGCGAGCTATCCGATACGGAGGTGACAGGAGGTGGTCATAACAAGGGTAGCACTAGTATCCCATCCTCGGCTAATCCGCTTCCAAGGAATATGATCTCATCCCTGACTCTTGAGGATCTGGAAGCTGTAGGAGAAGAAAAGGATTCTAGATGGGGAAAGAAAGATGCTGAAATTATGGATACCAAACCACGACGATCCGATACTCGATTTCAATCCAGCTTGCGATCATCGTTTCAATTGGAAGTCATCAGTGAATTGTCCGTATCCATCTTTGAATCAGTCGGAGCTCCAGATGAGACGGATGGTGATGATTTGGAAGCCATTGTGGAACCGGCCAGTCCCAACCGACCACAGGAATGTCGATGGGGAACAAACACCACAGGCAGACGACTCTCCGATGTGTCACCCACACTGGCCATGGGATTGGACATGTCGGACCGAACACAACAAGCGTCCAATCGATTCGAGGCACAACAGCGCCGGGGTTCCATTGATGCTCCAGTACTGGCACCCTCCCGCAATTGGAGTGAGCAGGAACTACCTTCCGACAGCGATGATGTGTCAACGATCTCATCCTTTGAAAGGCCCGTGGAATTGGACATGTCCGTTCGAACCACGCAAGCGTCCAATCGATTTGAGGCACAACGCAGGAATTCCCTTGATGCTCCAGTCTTGGCACCCGCCCGCAAGAGGAGCGAGCTGGAACTGCCTTCCGACAGCGATGATGTGTCCATGGTGTCCGATGATAATCGATCGGTCGACATCCCCATTCGACCACCCACGCGGAGACTGAGTCCAACTCCGGCCGTATCCTGTTGAGCAATTGCTCGACCCCTCCAATTTTGCACTGCTACTTTCTAATATATAGAACTCAATCAATTTTGAAACACTACATTATTTGATTACTATGAAAACAAAATTGCTTCCTGATTGTGTAGTAAGAAATGAAGCATATAGTCCATGGAGAGCAAGGCCCTTTTTGAAGCATCATCTGAATCATCAGAAAGGTGCTGGCTGACACAATCTTCTACTATAGGACTATCAGAACATAAAAGTTGCTACATAGCAAGTATCTCTTCAGGTGAGAAGGACTCTTTCCCATGATTCCTTCACAACAAAAATTCTTCTAAAAATGAATCAATTTGGATGCATGACAAATCATCGACGGACAGCCAGCCATCTATCATGGTTGGTACTATTATCGATCTTCAGATCGTGTGGGCATCGCTCTCAGGAGGGGGATAAATTATTACACCGATCGCAACAATGAGCTCCCGGATGCTTTTGTGCTGTCTGAAAGTTTAGCATGAACTCCCTATTGTGCCGTTCACAACACAATGCTCCCGTGAAAGCATACATACATGAAGTACCGGTACATGACAATTGAGACGTAATATTCGGAGAATGATCGATGTCAGAACACCTCGACGGCTCTGAAAAAGACAGCGAATATGATGGCCCTTTTGGTTTGAAAATAATTATATATATGCCGGTATATATTCCGTTCCATGCAGTTGTGCGAAAGTTTTACCGCTATATGACCGCATGGCCTTTAGTCGTCATTATGTATATATATTGTTCCCTTTTTTATAATGGAACCACGACATATAGCAATATACGGTAGGAAACAGCTGATGTCTAAATACTTTCCGGCGGGATTTGAAACATCAACCTCAATAAAAAACGCGGTGGAATCTTTCTTTCGAAAAACGAGAAGCAACATTACGGCATAAACTCGCAACGACAACCCAAGATGAGCGAAATTGAGTCGTCACAGCGACTTACCGATGTACAAGAGCGGGTTTTGGCATTGCTCCCAATTCCAGCTGCCATTCTCAGTGTTCTTGGGAGTTCTGTCATCATACTAATAGCATTAGATTCAAGGAAGCACAAGACGTGGAGCCCATATACTCGACTTCTCATCGGATTGAGCGTCAGTGATATCTTATCAAGCATAAACATGGCCTTGGCGTCATTTCTCAGGCCCACGGACAGCCCGCGGGCAACCTCATTTGCTATTGGGAATGCAACCACATGTTCCATATCAGGTTTCATGACAACCGCGGCTCACTCGGGGACATTCTATACGTGCATGCTGAGCTATTACTTCTTGTTCACCGCGAGATTTGGATTGAAGAACTCCGTCGTTGCCCGGAGAATTGAGCCAGTGATGCACTGCATCTCACTTGGTTATCCCATCATCTCCGCAATAGTCGGTGCCTATTATGAAGCGTATGCTGATACTGCTACTTATTTTGGATGCTTTGTAAATTGTCCACCAGGGACAAACAAGGAAGACTGCATTGCGACAACTTTGGGATGGATTTTCTACGGATGGCCATTCCTCTTTGTGTTGGCTTCTTTGATCGTGAACAACCTATTGATTTGGCGACTAGTACATGGGCACTCAGTGACATTGCGGAAAATGCACACTTCTCGTCAAGTTGGTGGATCAAGCGATGAATCTTCGGCCGTTCATAGTTTGGACGATGACATTTCTTCTCTTGGACTCACCAAGAGGGTGGACGCGACTGTTCACGGCTCCGACATCACTTCATCATCGTATAAAGCCAACGTGGTATACCACAGAAAAGTTACACATGTTGCGACAGCCAGCCATTTGAGAAGACTGCAACTTGTCAAGTCTCAAGCGCTTTTGTTCGTGGCAAGCTACGCTTTCGTCTCCATGTGGGGCGGGATCATGGCCATTGCCGAACAGTACGCCCATACAGAAGATGAAGAATTATCCCTTTTGGTAAAAATGTATCCCATCATGGTACTGCACGCTCTTCTAGCCCCAATGCAAGGTCTTTTCAACATGCTAGTGTACGTCCGCCCCAAATACTTGACAACGCGTCACGAATTTGGAGACCAGTCTCGCTGGTGGGCGATGAAGCGTGCTATGCTGGGGGAGAAGCGAGTTCGAGCATCAGGAAAACCAAATGCACCAACTGCATTGCCACAAGCGATGAAACAAGTACCCGATGCGGAATCACCAAAGGATGGCGTGATTGACAATCGCATTGATTCGGTGGATGTCCAAACTCAATCATTGCCGTTGAAGCGTGGTGGTGTATCGAGTTTGACTGCTAATAGCGGTTCGGAGTTTCACGATGAGCAGTCGTACGAAGAAAATCTGAATGACGAAGAACAAGATCGATGGGGAGGCAAACATCACGATACATGGACACCAATAAAGCAAGCGCCTCGACACTGCTCCAGCTTATTAGAAGAGAGGGATTCAAGCCTTGGAATGATCAGTGAGCTGACCGAGACGCAGTTTGAGCCAATCATTGACTATTCGGTAGAAACGCGATTTGAACAGGACCATAGATTTGAAACACAACAAGGGGATTCAACTCCAGCTCCTCCACGACCTGCCGCTGTTCTCAGCCCATCCACGACCGATAGTAGGTGGACGAACGATTCAGCAAAGGAACGGCAATTGATCTCAAGTCTCGATTGGATGATGCCCCAAAGATTATCAAGCACTACAGAAATGCATTGCACCGAAGACCCAATGGGTGGACCATCGACTGATGTACCACTTCAAACTCCCATGCGAATCGAAAGTCTAGAACTTATTTCAGAAATTGAAGACGAAGGGACAGATGATGTTTCACAACCACTACCGCCATCCGCTCTAGCGGGCCCTCTTGGTGTTCAAGCATCCTCCACAGCAGATAGGACGCTGAGGCCTCCAGTGAGACGAACTAGTCCCACTCTATCCGTGCGGCCAAAACGGTTGTAAAGTAAATCAACTACGTAGGTAGTCTGATATAAAGGGGTAGACCTTTTACAGTCTATGTGGATACCAGATTCTTGCCTACCGGTACTATCGCGCATGATGGATGCCCACGAACGATAACCTCCGGCCAGCTATACTGGAACGGCCGGGAAATAGAAATTTAGCATACAATTCTTGGGAGTAAATATTGATTTTCCCGGACGTCCCGGTAGTGAGATAAAAGTGCAAATATATCCTTACATTTTGCGGTCAGCGTTTCCAAGCAGTTTGCTCGCGCACTATGCTACGAAAAGAACACACACTTTTTTACTCTCAGTATGTCCACGGATCCCACACTGGACGAAGCGTTCCAAGCTTTCCAAGCTTTCAAAGCTGTTGGCATTGCAAAACATTAAAGAATGCATTTTTCGGGCTCAAAGAATGACGAAGAATGATCATTATGACCAACTAGTACATAACAACTTTCGTTTGTTGTTCCAAACCGGTTTTGAGGAACCGAACCCAACATTTCGCACCTCGTTACATAGGTAAGAGACGTTGAAAATATTCGCACTTTCGCACTCTTTTTTCTTCTTAAAAAAAAAACATTTTGGGCGCAACTAAGGGGAAAACAACACAACAAAATCAGACACACTCCATCCGTGGATGCCACAGACAAAACAAAGATGAGCGACAGTGATTCATCGCAGCGACTTAGTGATGTACAAGAACGATTCTTGGCACTCCTTCCCATTCCAGCTTCTATTTTGAGCATAACTGGCAGCTCTATCATCATTTACATTGCTTTGAATTCTAGGACAAGGAAGAAGTTGAGTCCATATACTCGACTTCTCATAGGGTTGAGCATCAGTGATATAGTTGCAAGTATAAACGTTGCCTTTGCATCATTCCTTAGGCCCACAGAGAGCCCTCGCGCAACCTCATTTGCTATTGGCAATGCAACAACATGCTCCGTTTCAGGGTTCATGACGACAGGTAAGTGACGATTTGTTATTCTGCTTCACAGACTGGAACAATGAACAGACTTTCTCACCAGATGTGTATAGTGGCTTTCTCGTCTGCATTGTATTCATGCATGCTCAGCTACTACTTCTTATTAACCGTGAGATTTAGACTGAAGAACTCTTTCATTGCGAGAAGGATTGAGCCGCTGATGCACTGCATCTCACTTGGCTACCCACTTATCTCCGCAATAATTGGTGCCTATTACGATGCTTACGCAGACACTGCGACTTATTTGGGGTGTTGGATAAACTGTCCAGCAGAGAAAGATGAGGAAGAGTGCTTTTCCAAAACTTTGGGATGGATCTTCTATGGTTGGCCTTTCCTTTTTGTGGTGGTTTCTTTGATTGTGAACAACATATTGATTTGGCGCCTAGTACATGGGCACTCAGTTACATTAGGGAGAAAGAGTACTCGCGATGGAGTTGCTGTATCAAGTGATCAATCTGCGGCTGTTAACAGTGTGGACGATGATTCCTTTCTTGACCAAGGCACAGGGGTAGACGATACCTATTGTGGCTCCAACACCACCTCGCCATTGTCTGATGTTGTCAATAAGGCACAGAAACAAACTTCAGATGCTTCAGCTGACAATCAGCTGAGAAGACTACAACTTGTCAAGTCTCAAGCATTTTTGTTCGTTGGAAGTTATGCTTTCGTCACCATGTGGGGCGGAATCACGGCAATTGGTGAAAATCGAGCCGATTCAGAAGACGAGGAACTATCTCTTTTGGTGAAATTGTATCCCATTATGGTTCTGAACGCTATTCTAACACCGATGCAAGGGTTCTTCAACATGTCGGTATATGTTCGTCCAAAATACTTGACAGTGCGTCATGAGTTTAAAGACAAATCTCGCTGGTGGTCGATGCAGCGTGCAATACTTGGGGAGAAGAAAGCGCGAGCATCGAAGACGCCGAGGATACCGAACAAAAAGCCACAGGGGGTGAAGGAAGCTTCCAATGTCGAGTCGCCGAACGATGGACTAAGAATAGATGATAGCGCTGAATCGGCGGACACTGTAGCCCAATCACTCCCATTGAAGCGTTGTGGTGTATCGACTTTGACTGCCAGTCGCGGAGACTTCAACAATGAAGAGTTTTGCTTTGAAGGTCTGAACGACGTAGACCAAGACAGATGGAGATGCAAGCGCCATGACACATGGGCACCAATGAAGCAAGCGCCTCGATACTACTCTAGCTTGCAAGAGCGGGGATCAAGCCTTGAGATGATCAGCGAGCTAACAGAGACGCAGTTTGAGCCAATCATTGACTATTCAGAAGAAGTTGAAGTTGAAGGTGATCATAGATTCAGAACACCTAACAGAGATTCAGTTCCAGCAGCTCCAAGGTCTGCAACTATTCCGAGCCCATTCGCCACAGATAGTCGATGGAACCCCAATTCACCAAAGCAACGCAAACTAGTGCCAAGTCTCGATTTGATGTTGCCACAAAGAGTTTCAAGCTCTTCAGAACAATTTTGCACCCAGGAGGACCAACTTGCTGACGAACAATGGATCGATTCACAGCTTCAAACTTCTCCTCGAACCAGAAGTCTGGAAAAGCATTCAGAAATTGAAGACGAAAAGGCAGATGTATTAGTTCAAGCTTCGCTTCTGTCGTCGTCTGCACGATCTGCTCCCACAAGTGAAGCATCTTTTTTAGATAGAATGCTGCAGCCTCCAGAAAGACGAATGAGCCCACCTCCCTTGTAGTCTGATAATCTGTAGCAAAAATGACTGTAAATAGTTTGCTTTGTAATACATTGAAACTGCAGTGTAAGATGCATACCTGTGCCGTAATAGATTCAAGGTATAATACTATAGGATAGACCCTTTGTAGTGCGCCTGCCACACCATCGCATATTCCATGCATGCATGTCAATAAAAGGTGTAGCAACACAATTTTGGTAACATAATCTGAACTACCGTCGCAATCATCAGAAAAATCGTTATCCTGACTGCAAAAGTATAGTAGTACTATCAGGTCATTAGGCTGCTATAGAATCCTTCTCTCCAGGTTATAATATAAGGTCGCCGTATCTAAGAATCTGAATCATCGGCGCAGTATAATATATATCTTCAGATCGTTTTAGCATCGTTCTCACAGGTGCAGACAGCGCACCGATGGCAAAAGAAGCTATATATACGCTCCAGTTTTGCGTTCCGGTCGAAACAATATATTATGCACCTGCCGCGAAAGCATGAACAGTACACGTGTACGTACGTGTGTACGTGTACCGGTTTTCGAGGGGGAAAAACTTTTCTCCGCGGGACCGGTCGTCATAAATATGAGAGTTATTTTACCGGTCTCACATACAGTATCTTGTGTTTTGTAATTCTCCGTTCGTATCGTGTATATTCCCCAAAACCATCTCTTGCATCAGCTCGAAGGGCAGACGAACGGCGCCAACCAAAAGATATCGTGGACTATACACGGAGATTCCGGAACAATTTAAGTCGGTACCGCTCTACTAAAGCCACGCCGGAAGCGCTGCCGAAAATTGAAGGATGAAACTGCCATTCTCTTTCTACCCGAGTAGTGCTCGAGTATACTAGACAACAACACGAGGACAAGTGCACTGGTCTATCGGTTTCAGGCTTCAAATAGTACATTTGAATTATCGTGATTACACGCTTGGTTTTTTTGTGGTTTTTTTGTAGTCTGTTCCTAATCTCCGATCATGACTGACTATTTGAAGAATTTTAAAGCAGCGTCTTCCCGGAAGTCACCTCCTCAGGTGGTTACGGTGGCTGATGATGATAGTTCTATTATGTCGGGGGGCAAAGAAGATTGGATTGTCGGTTAATTCACGGGGCTCACTCGGGATCGAGGATTACAAAGGTATGAGACAAAATGTTCTGTCTGGTGTAAATATTGGTGGTATTGAGGTGGGTGGTTCCAGCAGCAAGGTCAAGGCCAAAATTAAGCAGAAATCTTCGGGAGGGAAAGCGTCGGATAGGAAGACTTTGTTTTACTTGAAGGACAAAACAGGTGCAACCATTTGCTGTGTGTCAGTTTCCTCATCTGCTGGCGGGCAAAAAGCTTGTGGAGAGAAGAAGGACTCAGCAACAAATTTGTGTGATATTGCCTTGCACAGATCGTTAGTCCCAATTGATAAATTGCAGTTTCCAGCTTTGTACTGCATATGCCGCTGCAAAAAGCTGGGCTATGCTTGGAGGTAGGAAAGTGATAGCGTCAAGTAAACTAAAGATTCCAAAACAATCGCCACCAGAGGTGAAGGAGGTCCCCAATAACCAATCACCAAAGGATGGGGTAGAAACAAAAGTTGAGGCCGTGCAAAACAAAACATTGTGATTGAAACGTGATGCTGTATCAACCTTGACTGCCAGCCGGGGTGACTTTAGCGACGAGGCGTCATGCTATGAAAACCTTAATGATGAAGAAAAGGATAGATGGGGAAGCAATCGTCACAATACATGTGCGCCAATGAAGCAAGCAGCACGGTACTACTCCAGCTTACAAAGAAAGGGATTCGAGCCTTGGAATCATCAGCAAAATGACCGAGACGCAGTTTGATCCAATCATTGACCATTTTCAAGAAATGAAATTGGAAGGTGACCACAGGTTTAGAGCACAACAAGGAGATTCCATTCCTGCTTTTCCAGGATCTACACCCATCTTCAGTCCGTCCACTGTTGATAGTAGATGGAGCCCCAAATCAGTAGAGCAACGCAAATTACTCGCAAGTGTCAATTTGATGATGCCACAAAGAGCATCAAGCACTTCAGACATGCATTGCATCAATGACCAACTGGGCCATCGATTGATACACCTCTTCGGACTTTCATTCAAATCGCAAGTCTCGTAGTTGTGCTGATGTCTGACGTGCCGTAGCGACAGATTCTTACCGGTATAGTGTCAGCTGGCTGTGCGCACGTTGTGTTACGTGTATATAGTAATGATGAGAGTTGAGTATGACTCCGAAGTCAAAGTTCATACATGACATGTATATCAAAAGCGCTGACAATTTCCGATGAAAAGGGGTCTTTCGCTACTGGAATGTGTCTGTATAACCGAGGAGAATTTAGGTCTATTCGTCATCGAATTCTCTAAATAATATTTTCCGGTGCGCTCATGTTTTCGAACCGCGAATCCACAGTTCCCGGTCACAATAGAATGTCCGAAAAATACCACACAAACTGATAAAAAAACAAACAAACTATAGGATGAGCGAAATGGAAGCATCGCAGCGCCTTAGCGAGGTACAAGAACGTCTACTGGCAGTACTTCCGATTCCAGCATGTATTCTGAGTATTCTCGGCAGTTCCATCATTATATTAATAGCTTTGGATTCTAGGAAACGCAAGAAGTGGAGTCCATATACAAGACTTCTCATAGGATTGAGTGTCAGTGATATTGTTTCAAGCATAAACATCGCCCTGGCATCATTCCTTCGACCTACAGACAGCCCACGAGCAAGCGCATTTACTATTGGTAATGCAACAACCTGCTACGTGTCAGGCTTCATGACGACAGGTGAGTATTTAGATTGGGGCGTGTTGATTCGTAAATTGGCATTTTCGACCGATCTCACTCTTTTTCTAGTGACTCGATCGGCGAAGTTTTACTCGTGTATGCTGAGCTTCTACTTTTTACTCACTGCGAGGTACCGACTGAAGAACTCTTTCATTGCCCGAAGGATTGAACCAGGGATGCATTGCATCTCACTTGGCTACCCACTCGTCTCGGCGATAGTAGGTGCTTACTATAATGTTTACGCTGATACTGTGACCTATATGGGATGTTTTGTAAGCTGCCCACCAGAGACAAATGAGGAAGACTGTATTGCAACAACTTTAGGGTGGATCTTCTATGGTTGGCCTTTCCTATTTGTGTTGGCTTCTCTGATCGTTAACAACGTACTGATTTGGCTCTTAGTACATGGGCAGTCAGTAGCACTTCAGGAAAATGATGCTTCCGGTAAGGTTGAAGCAGCTCAAGATGAGTCCAAAGATTTTCGCTGTGTGGACGATGATGATGGTTCTTTCCATGAACAAACCAAGAGGAGCGTAGACGAGACTTTCATCTCCGACACAACACCATCGTCGGATAATCTCAACAAGGTACAGCAGAAGAAGGCTTCGAAGGCTCCCACAGCCAGTCATATGAGAAGGCTACAACTTGTGAAGTCTCAGGCCTTTCTTTTTGTGGGTGCTTACGCATTTGTCAACATTTGGAGCGGGATCATGGCCATTGCCGAACAAAACTCCCACGCAGAAGATGACGTTTTATCTTTTTTGGTGAAAATGTATCCCATCATGATACTGAATGCTCTTTTAGCCCCCATGCAAGGTTTTTTCAACATGCTTGTATATGTCCGTCCCAAATACTTGACAACTCGTCATCAGTTTCAAGACCAGTCTCGCTGGTGGGTGATGAAGCGTGTTATGCTTGGGGAGAAGAGAGTACGAGCATTGGGGAAGCCGAGGATACCAAAACCGTTGCCACAACAAGCAACAAATGAAGTGCCCAATGCCGAATCACCGAAAGATGGAGGAAAAACAGATGATAGTGCTGAGCCTGTGATTGATCAACCTCGATCACTAGTACCATTGACACGCAATGCTGTATCGAGTATGACTGCTAGTGGGGGAGACTTTATCGATGGACAGTCGTACGAAGAAAGTCTGAATGACAAAGAACAAGATAGATGGGGAAGCAATCATAACGATACATGGACACCAATAAAGCAAGCGCCCCGATACTACTCCAGCTTAGAAGAGAGGGATTCGAGCCTTGGAATGATCAGTGAGCTGACCGAGAAGCAGTTCGAGCCAATCATTGACTTTTCGCAGGAATCGGAACTTGATCAAAGAGTTCAAGCAACACATGGGGATTCAATCCCTGCTCCCCCAAGATCTGCACCTACTCACAGTCCTTCTCCTGTCAATAGCAGATGGAATCCCGAACTAGCAAGGAAACGTCAGTTGCTCGCAAGTCTCGATTTGATGATGCCTCGAAGATTATCAAGCACTGCTGAAATGCCTTGCACCGAAAACCCGCCGGATGGTTCATGGACTGATGTACCACTTCAAACTCCCATTCGAGCCGTAAGTCTTGTTGAAGTTCATTCAGAAATCGAAGAAGAAGAAGCAGATGCATCTGTACGAGATCCACCTCTGCCGCCATCTGTACGACAGGAATCCCCTGGTGTTGGCGCATCCTCGTCGTCCTCCTATGGAACAGCAGATAGAATGTTGCTGCCTCCAGTGCGTCGAATGAGTCCCACTGTATTCGTGAGACCACCGCGCGGCAGTGTCGTAAATAGCTAGGCTGCTTTAATAGTCAAAGTTGTTCATAATTCACTTATTTTACTCCGTGTGTTGAAACTGCAGAAGTCTATATAGTACCGTATGAATCAGAGTATCAAGTTGAAAGTATACCAGGCAATACTCGTGGTCCAGCTATATAGGTACCGCAGGTACAATATGTTGGTAGCCGTCCGTCCGTCATCAGTACTGTCTACGATTGCCATCAAATATTTTTGCAATATTCAATAAAATAACTGCAAATAATGAGAATAATATATATCGATCGGCGATGACGCCTCGCATAGACCAACTACAAAACTGAAACATTCACGACGATTTCTGTCTACTATTGCATGAAGATAACTCATGTCTTGCAACGTAACTCAAGCTGTAGCAGAGGAGATGCATATCGGGCAGTCTTGAAGGGGGTTGGAATAAGATTCCAATCGAACGAAAGGAATATACATATTGCTTATTGTTCCAACAAGGTATTATCAAGGCAATATTCTTCATCTTCGCCGTTAGATGCACCGCCATTACATGTCTTTGCGTCATGTCTTCCAGGCCTAGAGCCCTTTTTGAATGAAGAACTTGTGAGTCTCGGTTTTCAGACTCGGCGTACTACTGGTGGGGTTCACTTTCGGGCTTCCAACGCTAAGGAACTTCACAGCTGTCATTTATGGTGTGGGACGGCATCAAATATTTACTTGCGAGCAACTGAAGACAAAACCTTTCGGGCCAGAGGAATGGCCGAACTAAAGAAACATATCACTCGACTCAGCTTTTGGGAGGAATGCATTGACACTACGGATCAATCGCTCTCCTCGGGATTTGAGATTCGTGTAAAGTCTTCCAAGAGCAAGCTGTATCACACGGCAGGAATTGCGCAGAGAGTTGAAGAAGGAATTTACTCTGCGCTTGGCAAAGATACTCCATCAAAGGAGATAACTGAAAGCCAGAATGATAGTCAGAAGCTCAAGGTGCTTGTCAAGATTTACCGGGACGAAGTGGAAGTATCAGTAGACACGTCCTCTACACCTATTCATCAACGAGGCTATCGACTCGAAACAGCGAAGGCCCCTTTGCGAGAAGACTTGGCATTTGCTCTATTGTATTCTACAAAACTATTTGGAAGAAATAATAGTGCCAATGATTGGTCGGTGCTGGATCCCTTTTGTGGAGCGGGAACAATCCCAATCGAGGCAGCCGCCTTGGCACACAATCTACCACCAGGTAGACTCCGAGAGGCACCATTGCGAGGCTTGACGTTCTATGATCCAGACGGATGGAACCGAATGGTAGAGTCTGCAGTTCGAAACAGCACCACTGGAGACATGAATGAGGAGCTTCAGATTCTCGGTACGGATCGAAACGAAGGGGCCATTGCCATATCCGAACGCAATGCTGCTCGTGCCTCAGTCGATCATTTAGTGAAATTTCGACACCAAGCCATTAGTTCGAATCAATGGTTCGAGAATCCTTCACTCGCACCTAGTCGAACACTAGTGGTGTGCAATCCTCCCTTTGGACATCGCATTTCCAAGGACACCAAAAAGAAGAAGGATCCTTTCAGTTCCTCCTTGTTGCCACTCATTCAAACCTTGGGACACAAACTCATGAAGCTTATTGGCCAATCAGCTGAGGGTAATAGTCGTCGTCAAGTGGCAGTCAACATATTGGGCACCAATCCCAATCTGATCCGTCGATCTGGCATTCCCAATCTCAAAGTAAGCTTTGCGTCCAAACACGGGGGAATAAATGTGTTTGCCCTTGGTCAGGCATCAAGCGTCACATGAGATAAGAGAATATTCAAACTTGGTCAATGATTTCACCCGATTCCAGTCGAACCCATGACTTCCACCGTATGCTGTTGCGTTCCTCGTTGTGTGGTTCTCCTTTTTCTCTAGCATCATGAAAGCGAATTCGGTTCTTTAGCTCGAAGACGCGGGCACCTTTACCATAACCTCCATATCCTGAGTGGCGGCCAAAGCACAAATGAAAAGCACTACTGAAGTGCTCTCGTCTTGCCGTCTCGTCCATTATTGTTGCGCTGTTATTGTTATTATTTTCAGAACTAGAATGATATGGGCAGAAGTAATCATTTCCATGATTGTGGCCTACTGCCAAGAACAGATATCGTTTTGCTTCTACCAATGCTTGAACAATGCCAGCATCGGACTCGAGTGGCGCCATGCCATGAAGGTGAATGAGGCCACCTCCATTGTAGTCTGCTAATCTATTGCTATTCATCACCCCGATAGTAAGAAAGACTGTTAATAGTTTGCTTTGTAATACATTGAAACTGTAGTGTACTATGCATACCCCGTGCCCCCGTAATTATAGCAATTTAATACTCAATATGTATAGTGAATATTTTGATAAAACAGAATAGACCTTTTGCAATCCGTCTGTCGCACCACCGTATAATATATTCTGATGACTAAAAAGAAGATAGTACATACCGGTATACTTGTACTGTAGCAACAAATTATGTTCGGTAGCATCATCTGATCTACCGGTACCGTCTCAACCATCAGAAAGGTCGTTGATTGCAAACTACTAGTGGTACTATCAGGGCATTAGTTTGCTATAAAATCCTTCTCGCGAGAAGAAAGTTGTTTGTGCCACCACATCAGCGAAGAATCAATCCATGGGTGGACGATGAATCCTCGGCGCATTTTCGTGGTGGCCACTGGCGACTGGTCGCACTATATCGATCTTCAGATTGTGTCAGCACCGTTCTCAAGTGGATCGAGCACCGAAGCTCCCGCATGCTACAGTACCTGGTACCTGGTACCGCACAGTGAGGCATATATATACGCTACAGTATTGCGTTCCGGTCGAAACAATGAGTACCGCGGTATGCGAAAAACTCTTTTCTGCTTCAAGACGCCGCTCTTAGTTACACTTGTACATATTTCTCCGTAGAAAGATCGAGTATCCTTTATTTGTGCAGTGTCTGATGTAAAAGAAAATACATAACGATATATATTATAGAAACTTATTTTGAAAACAAACAGGTTTTTCCCCCCACGACCCAACACAAACAATAATAAACGATGATTCACTGTGTACCGGTACCGGTACAATGAGATTCAAATGAAAATATATAGCACATATACCCCTTCATCATCGTGACATTACCGCATACACCCCTCACAAAGACAACATGAGATGAGCGAAATTGAGTCATCACAGCGACTTACCGATGTACAAGAACGATTATTGGCACTCCTTCCCATCCCATCTTCCATTATCAGTGTTCTTGGGAGCTCTGTCATCATATTCATAGCTTTGGATTCTAGGAAGCAGAGGAAGTGGAGCCCATATACTCGACTTCTCATAGGATTGAGCGTCAGTGATATCGTATCAAGCATAAACATGGCATTGGCGTCATTTCTCAGGCCCGTAGATAGCCCGCGGGCAACCTCATTTGCGATTGGCAATGCAACAACATGTTCCATATCAGGTTTCATGACAACCGCGGCTCACTCGGGGACATTCTATACGTGCATGCTGAGCTATTACTTCTTGTTCACTGCGAGATTTGGACTGAAGAACTCCTTCATTGCTCGAAGGATTGAGCCAGTGATGCACTGCATCGCACTTGGCTACCCCATCGTCTCCGCAATAGTAGGCGCCTATTACGATGCGTATGCGGATACTGCTACTTATTTTGGATGCTTCGTAAACTGTCCACCAGGGAAAAACAAGGAAGACTGCATTGCTACAACTTTGGGATGGATCTTCTATGGATGGCCATTCCTCTTTGTGCTGGCTTCTTTGATTGTGAACAACCTATTGATTTGGTTCTTAGTACATGGGCACTCAGTGACATTGCGGAAAAAGAGCACTTCTCGTCAAATTCATGGATCAAGCCACGGATCTTCGGCCGTCAAAAGCAGTTTGGATGTTGATGATTCCTTTCATATCGATAGCATGGGAGTTGAAAATACTGCCCATGGCCAGGAAACTACCGCCCCATCATCATCGGACAACGCGAAAAAAGAAAATATGCAAACCCCAGATGCTCCAAAGGACAATCAGCTCAGAAGACTTCAACTTGTCAAGTCTCAGGCCTTTTTGTTTGTGGGTAGTTATGCCCTTGCTGCCATGTGGGGAGGATTCATGGCCGTTGGCGAACAACAAGCCGTGACAGAAGATGAGGAACTATCCCTTTTGGTAAAAATGTATCCCATCATGGTCCTGAATGCCGTCTTCGCCCCAATGCAAGGGTTCTTCAACATGTTAGTATATGCCCGTCCCAAATACTTGACAACACGTCACCAATTTCGAGACCAATCTCGTTGGTGGGCGATGAAGCGTGCTATACTCGGAGGTAGGACGTCGAGGAAACCTAAGATTCCAAAACGATCCGCACCAGATATGAAGGAGGTTCCCAAGAGCCTATCGGCGAAGGATGGAGTAAAACCAGAAAGTGAGGCTGTGCAAAACAAAACAGTGTCATTAAAACGTGATGCTCTATCGACCTTGACTGCCAGCCGGGGTGACTTTAGCGACGAGGCGTCATACTATGAAAACCTTAATGATGAAGAAAAGGATAGATGGGGAAGCAATCGTCACGACACATGTGCTCCAATGAAGCAAGCGCCACGGTACTACTCCAGCTTACAAGAAAGGGATTCGAGCCTTGGAATCATCAGCGAAATGACCGAGACGCAGTTTGATCCAATCATTGACCATTCGCATGAAATGAAATTGGAAGGTGACCACAGATTTAGAGCACAACAAGGAGATTCCATTCCTGCTTTCTCACGATCTACACCTATCTACAGTCCGTCCACTGTTGATAGTAGATGGAGCCCCAAATCAGTAGAGCAAGGCAAATTACTCGCAAGTGTCGATTTGATGATGCCACAAAGAGTATCAAGCACTTCAGAAATGCATTGCATCAATGACCAACTGGCAGGGCCATCGATCGATACACCTCTTCAAACTCCCATGCGAACCTCAAGTCTTGTGGAACCCAAGTCCGAGATCGATGACGACGAGGCAGATGTATCACTGCAACACTCGCCTCTTCCTCCACCAGCACCACAGGCTAGCGTACTTGAAGGAACGTCCTCAGATAGAACGTTGCGTCCTCCAGCAAGACGATTGAGCCCCCCTCGACTATAGTGCGACCACCACGGTAGTAACGTAAACACCTAATAGTCTGGTGATCGATTTTGTTGCTGATCAGTCAGCAGTTGTATTTTCCTCGTACTTTGAAGCTACCGCCATAGTCTCTTCACGGCGCCCAATCAAACTTCAGCAATTCATGGGTATGGATTTATCACTACTTTGCATCACAATATAATGTCTGTGCTTCCATAATGTCATGATACTGTTTATGCGGGAGCCACGGAAGCGAGCCTTGGAATAATGATCAGTTCGCTAACCGAGACGCGCAGCTCGAGCCACGCATTCACAGTCCTTCGAACCTCAATGGCAGATGGAATCCAAAACTACTAGCTAGCAAGGAAATAATAGTCCCAATGATTGGGAGGCCCTTCTACAAGAAGACTTTGGCATTTGCTCTATTGTATTCTACAAAACTATTAGGAAGACACAATAAATAGTGCCAATGATTGGTCGGTGCTGGATCCCTTTTGTGGAGCGGGAACAATCCCAATCGAGGCAGCCGCCTTGGCACACACTCTACCACCATAGGTAGACTCCGAGAGGCACCATTGCGAGGCTTGACGCTCTATGATCCAGACGGATGGAACCGAATGGTAGAGTCTGCAGTTCGAAACAGCACCACTGGAGACATGAACGAAGAACTTCAGATTCTCGGTACCGATCGAAACGAAGGAGCCATTGCCATATCCAAACGCAATGCTGCTCGTGCCGGAGTCGATCATTTAGTGAAATTTCGACACCAAGCCATTAGTTCGAATCAATGGTTCGAGAATCCTTCACTCGCACCTAGTCGAACACTAGTGGTATGCAATCCTCCCTTTGGACATCGCATTTCCAAGGACACCAAAAGGAAGAAGGATCCTTCCAGTTCCTCCTTGTTGTCACTCATTCAAACCTTGGGACACAAACTCATGAAGCTTATTGGCCAATCAGCTGAGGGTAATAGTCGTCGTCAAGTGGCAGTCAACATATTGGGCACCAATCCCAATCTGATCCGTCGATCTGGCATTCCCAATCTCAAAGTAAGCTTTGCGTCCAAACACGGGGGAATAAATGTGTTTGCCCTTGGTCAGGCATCAAGCGTCACATGAGATAAGAGAATATTCAAACTTGGTCAATGATTTCACCCGATTCCAGTCGAACCCATGACTTCCACCGTATGCTGTTGCGTTCCTCGTTGTGTGGTTCTCCTCCTTTTTCTCTAGCATCATGAAAGTCAATTCGTTTCTTTAGCTCGTAGACGCGGGCACCACGTTCCCATTTACCATAACCTCCATATCCTGAATGGCGCCCAAAGCACAAATGAAAAGCACTACTGAATAAGTGCTCTCGACTAGCCGCCTCATCCATTGTTGTTGTTGCGCTGTTATTGTTGCTATTTTTTTCAGAATGAGAATGATATGGGCAGCAGTAATCATTTCCATGATTGTGGCCTACTGCCAAGAACAGATATCGTTTTGCTTCTACCAATGCTTGAACAATGCCAGCATCGGACTCGAGTGGCGCCATGCCATGGTCACCGTTCATGCCAGTACACTCGTCGTGCAGTTGTTGCGAATTGGTATGATAGGCATGACTCAGAGTTGGAATATGCTGAAAGGCTACTGCTGGAATGTTGATAGTATTGCCTTGCTGCTGCTCATGTAACCATTTCAATTGAGATTCGTCAATGACTTCTGGCAAGGATCCCCCACCACTATCCAACAAGAGAATTTGAGCTGCCAGTACTGGACCACCTTCGTGATTAAGAATATCCAATACATAGTTGGAAGTGCCAAAGACATGATCTGGTCCAAGCTGAGAGAGGGATAATGGAAAGCTCTGGTCGATTTCCAACAAGTCTCTGCGGCTATACTTTGGTTCAGGGTTCTGTTTGCCATCAACAGGATCCACAAAACCCAAATCGTCATGATTCCCAAAAATAGTGGCCCATGGAGTATTGTACTTGGACAAGAACTCACCCAACATTTGATAATAGGCGGTAGCATTCTCCTTGCAATTGTTTCCCGTCAGTTGATCCCCCGACAAGACGATCAAATCGGGTTGTTCCAATTTTAGAACACGGTCCAAGACCAACCACGTCTTGCGATCTTGTTCCGGTCCCCAATCCAAGTTTTCCGCTTCTCCCAAATGAATGTCAGCAATTTGCAATATTTTGAAACAGGCATAATAGTCGTCGTCATCTTCCTTCACTTTGCTGCTGGTTGATTCATTGTTGTAGTACATCGTCGCCGCCGTCTCGTTGTTATGCTTGCAATTTTGACGAAACTGTAAGGTTGGACGTTGAATAACCCTCGAATTAGCTTTCACGATTCCTTCTTGGATTCTTCCAATGATCGGCGGGTCCTCTGTTATTGGCAAAGGAGTCTTCGAATAGGAAAACAATAAAGCAACGACCGCAACAATACTTAAAATGAGGATCAACGCATTGACGAAACCGAAGAGGATTCTTCTCCATAATAAGACTGACGGTCGCGACGATTGATTCTTCAGCTTATTTATTGTATTCGCAGAGCCATGATGATTGGTTTCAGATCCATCAGATTCTTCCATTTTAGTCATTTATCCTTGATTCATTCATTCAGCTGCGCCAATGACTAGTAATACTGTTGGCGTTAATAGCGATATTAGGTGCGGTGATTCATTCAATATACTGTAGGCACTATATAGCATGCATATCACTACAAACGTATAGGTATATAGTAGAGAGTGCGATGATGTTGCATAATGATGTATATTGAATATATATACACGTGTACATACGGTACTGCGTATGCGATAGAAAAAATATTCCAACAGAAATGACTAATGTGACTAATGCGACTGCATTTTTGAAATCACTTTTTGTCATTACAATCAAGAGTACCTGGTACCGGTATACGCAAGGGTGTGAAATTGGAGCATTAATAGCTGTTTAAAACTCGCATTCTTTCTAGCAATGCGAACAATGAACTCTGTGGCAACAAGGATCCTCCCAGCTCTGTCTTTCTTCGACACAAACCCAAGACTGTAAGATTGCAAAGGGCAACCATCTCGACCTTTCAACTTATTCTTTTTTATGCACATCGCAAAATTCGTCTGCCCATCATGCGATTGTCCAATCTATCTTTTTTTTATATCTAACTTCATTGCGGATATAAATCAATAACGATGCTACTGAAGTTGAACGCCAATCTTAGCGTTGAGGAAAAAACAGAGGCGAGGCGTTGATGCCGTCCGACGTGCCCTTTTCCTGCACGCTGATTGGTAGAATCCTCCGTTGCGTACAGACCAAGCGCCGTTACGTACAGATCAAAGCCGTTACGTACAGATCAAAAATTTGGCGTACAGATCAAAAATTTGGCGTACATTTCAAAACCGTTACGTACAGATCAAAACCCAACCCTGTTACGACACGTACTCGACACGCGCGGGCGGGGAGCAGTTTATACTAGATCCCCCGGGGAGAAAAGAAGGGGAGAGAGGAAGAATACGAGAGAGGACGAATAATATATAAGAAGGAAAGAAAAGAAGAAGAGAGAAGAAAAGAAGAAGAGAAAGGAATAGAATTTCAATGAAGGGGCTCTACAACACAGTGCTGGTTTCATGCATGGCGTCGCAAGATGACATATGCTATGATCGTAACGTTAGCCAGGACTTAGACGGATTTAGAACGAGGTAACAATCCATGAATGTTTGATGTGATAATCGATGCGTCTGGCTGAACCGGCTGCAGCTAGTATTGAAATGATGTCCAAGCACCTCTAAGCCAATAACAATATCTACTATGCCTGCATATCGCAGATCAAATCGAAACTCGGAGGCTCATCGCACTTCAAGATCGGAAGCATGAAAGTGATGTCAGTGTAAAGACGCGGCAGCCCGATCTTATTTTTATATTGTGTCGACAACAAACCATTTGGAAGCAAGGTGAATGAATCAAATCATGAAATACTGCTCGACTCTAGCAGCTGATACTATTGCTACGATACTATATTGAAACGCTTACTTATGCGAGGCTTGCGAGAACCAGCCAGTATTGGATTCGATAAATAATCGGCGGTGTGTGCTCAATGAACTCAACATTTTGGGAACCAAGCAAGATGAGTAAGGGCCACCACAAAGCCCAATTTCATCACAAAGGGAGTAAATACAACAATCAACCGGTTTTGAATAAGATTCACAGGCGAAAACATAGACAGAAACCTTTCATGGTTCCTTGTTATTGGCCAAAGCCGCGATAGGAAAGTCTGTTACAGTATATAGTCATAGATTATGCTTTCAGATTTGGGTATTGTATATTCTACTCTGACGGCAATACAATCAACCTTTTTGCACCCCTTTGAGACAATGACTTGATTCCAACAGTGAAGAGACTACTATGACCCACTATACTAACACCTATTTATACCATCCTTGTTTATACCGGTATCAGCAGTTGATTTCAATCTGCCATCAGAGAAGTCTGAGCGACACTCGACAAAACATAGTAGTACAATATCTGCAAGATTGTAAAATAAGTTTCTATCGTTGCATCTATCTATTACCTCATGTAGTACCAGTCAATGTCAGTTGCCAAGAACCTACCATCCCATTCTTCAGGGCAGCTAGAAGTGATCCTAGAGGGGATCTAATACAGCGCTTCCTCATGATCGAAAGCTAAGGTGGGTCCTTGAGACAAGGTGTTTAGTCGTTTGATAAGACAAAGAGAAACTGCTAGGGCCGTATGGAGCTTGGACCTAGCACCCCCCCCCTAACATCGCATGTGAAGTCTGTGGAGAGGAGTTAGTGGTCGAATCCATCATTAGTGATATAGAGAGCTGTGACTGGCTCATACCACTAATAATAGACTCATCTTTAGTGAACTGCATTTTTGAAATCACTTTTTGTCATTACGCAGTATGTGACTATTATACCGGTAATCCTATAGTACTTGGAAGATTGTATCTTCATTTCAAGTCTTGAAGGTCGTGACGAGCAAACCACTGGCATGTATATATCTACCTTGGACGTTTTGTATCATACTAGTCCTACAATACGTCTTTTTTTTAAAATTTTATATGTCATTGGACCTTTCACGTTTGACAGTAGATGTACCACTGGATTTCGAAGTGGATGGCTGTGGCTTGATTTCATCCTCCTCGTCATCCGAATCATCAACACTCATCACGGAATGGTCCGACTGACTTCTTTGCGCTGGTTTGGATGCAATGGAACTGGATTCTGGGAGTTCAGATGCTGAATCATCCTCCAATTCAATTGGTTCCTCGCTCTTTACCGCCGGCTTCTTAAATTCTTCCACAGCAAGGTCCGAATCGGTTTCATAGTCCAACTCCACATCGTTCGATGGATAAAACTTTCCCTTGTTTACGCGGCCGTCTCTGGAATAAGAGTCCACTTTCTTGCGATATTTCTTGCTTCGCTTGCCTTGCTTGGAAGATGGTGACCCTGGTGACAAGGGCTCTTTGTCACCGTCATCGGACTTTTCGTCGTCATCATTAATGGTGATTGTCAGTGATGGTTTCACTGCGGATGAGGATTCTCGTGTTCGAGGACTAGTGTGCTTCCTGTCAAGTTTGCGATATTTCGTCTTGGTCTCTTGAACATAGTCCTCATCCTCCGAAGCGTTGTCCACACTACTTTCATCGTCGCCCTCATTCTCCTCTTTGGTCGGCTTTCGAGCAGCCGATTTGCCTTGTCTTGATCGAGGACTAATGCGCATCCTTCTTTGTTTTGTCTTGGGTTCGTCTTCGACAAAATCATCATCTTCCGAAGGGTCGTCCAGACTGTTGTCATTGTCGTCATAATCGTTAGCAGGTGGGTTCTGAGCAACAATCAGCACCTCTCGATTTGTATTTCGTTTGGTCGGACTATCCAAGTCTTTGGAATCATCCCACAAAAGATCATTTCCCATACCCATCTCTTCGTCGTCCTCTTCGTCATTGGTTGGTGCCTGGCGCAAAAAGTCCAATTGCACCACTTGACCAAATTGACCGGCATGGATATTGTCATTATCGTCGTCAAAAGTATTGCTGACGGCGGCATCTGGAATGGCGGCTGGTTTTCGATCGTCACCATCGTCATCCTCTTCGTCATCAAGTCCATCATTCTCGTCTTCACTGGTTATGGTGACAATATCATGGTTTTCTTCTTGATGAATCGGTAGTGCGGCAACGTCATTCTCGTTCTCGACATTGGGATCATCTACATTTCCGTGGACCACTTCTTCTTCTTCTTCTTCTTCTACCTCCATATCATTGCTTGCTTCAGCTGCTACTTCTTCATAACTCGTAGCCGCCATGGTCTTCTCTACTCCAACCGAATCCAAGAACTCAACAATCTTGGCCAGAGTCGAATTCATATTGACAAAGAGTGACACAGAGTCGATACGGAAGCACTTCCACCCAACGCGCTCAATGGCCTTTTGTTGATTATAGCTAGTCTGCCAATCTTGACTGCACAACTCTTCACCGTCAACAATAAGGGCTGCACGATTCTTCTTGCCTTCGACGCATAAACCATTCTTCCAAACAATACCCATGTCAGTAATTGCATATCCGTTATCTTGCAATAGCTTCTTGAGAATTGCTGTCCCCTTGCGCTTCTCCTTTTGAAATGATGAATCAGCTCCATCTTCATCTTCAGAGTCTTCTGGCTGTTGTTGCAGGAAGAACTCAATGGTTGGAACCTTGACATCTTCCAAGCTCGAAATGTGTCCGATGTCAATACTCCGGACCAAGACGCAACGGTCTCGAGCTCGCGACATTGCAACATTGGCTCGTTGAAAGTGCATCAATTGGCTCTGCGTAGGAACGCTACCTGGAGAACAAACCATGCTCAGAAATACAATGTCTCGCTCTGCCCCTTGAAAGGTTGGTGGATCTCCAATCAGAACATGGTGACGAGCCATCTTTTCGGGACCAATCGCATCCAAGAGCCTCCCTCGGATCAATCTGCTTTGTTCGTCTCCAATCAAGGATATCACACCGATGCTACGTGGTTTAACTTCACTTCCCGGTAGGTTGATAGATTCTTGAATCAATTCGATAATCTTGTCGGCTTCGACTTCGTTGATCTTGCCAGTTTTCTTGCCATTGACTCGGACATCCATGATTGATGGGGTCATGCGCTCATGCTGAGATGGCAGTCTCAAGGGAACTAGACGGCCATCATAAAATTGTTGGTTGCTAAAGTCAATAATTTCAGGAGAGCATCGGAAATGTTCGCTGAGAACCACCTGAATAAATAAATGAAAGAGGGAGGCGCTAGGTGAGAGAGAGACTGACACCTCTTGGACAAATTAAAAACAGTATAGTAGCAACTTACTCGTCCACGTGGAAAGGCTTGAGCGCAAAGATCAAAGAAACTTTGTCCCGGCATCAAGGAACGTTCAAAAGGAGACTCGGGAAGAGACGCTCGCAGAGCCTCCATACTTCCTTCCGAAACAAATGCTTCCGTTGGACTGACTTGTTTTCCATCACCAACAATGAGCCATTGCTTTCCCCTCAACATTCCAGGAAGAACAGTAATGTCACTTTGGGATGCCTCGTCGATAATGACAAGGTCAAACAAACATTCTGCTGGCAGGTAGTCACTAATCTGACTGGTGGTCAGAATCCAACAAGGAATGAATCTGCAACACTTGTCAAAGGCATCCAGATATTCCTGACGACGCCGACGTTGACGTTGTGTCATCTTGGACTGCTTGGCAGTTTTTCCAAACTTGCTGGCTCCTGCAATTTGTGCAAAGCGAATCAACGCACTTTCGGCATCTGGAGAAAATGATTTACTCAACTCCGCAACGACTGCAGTATCGACCAATTCTTCCGCTTGGCGTCGGATTTGTGACTGGAGTCTTCCTCTTTGAAAATCGAGGGATCTGCATTGAGTTGCCTTTTGTACTTCCGCAGCAAGACTGAGAGATGCCTCCAGTTGCTTCATATCCAATGCCATTTGAATCACCTTGATGCAAGTCGACACTTTCTTGGTCTTGGCGAAATCAAAGGACGGCCAACCATGCTTCTTAACTCGATAGTCCCAAGCCCCGTCTTTGAAATGCGAAACGAGTTGAGACCTTTTCAACGCCTTTGCCACAATGTCCCAATCATCGTTCGAAGATGGTTTGACTCCATTCAATGTAATGTGTTCCAGTTGCTCTTGTAGTTGATTCTGTTGGGCTTCCATACCAGAGATCGATCCAAGTACAGGCAAGGAACTGACCCAATTGCGAGACGCTTGCGACAGCACGCTCGACACGGACGAACCAGATTTTGCGAGTGCCATGGATACCAGACGAGAATCTGGAGGCTGGCAAAAGTGTTGGACACTCAAGATTGATTCATCCTTGACTTCCAGTTCCTTCAATTGATTCAGTACGCTCTTGAGTTCCTTGGTCGAGACTTCTTCCAATGAGACCAACAACCAAGGGGCATCGGCCATGAGTTTGGCGGCCCATTCAGCAAGCTTGATTCCATCTGCTCCATGCAAGACATTTCGAACATTATCACTCTGTGTTCGAATGGAAGAATCGATCGATTCCAAGCGGGCTTCCAATTCGTCAATGTTCGTCTTGAGCAATTCGGCCTTTTGACATTCAATCTCCACCGAAGCCGCCGAAATTCGATTGGCCAGTCGTTCCACCGTCTGTCGAAGTTGTCTCAATCCAGAAGACTCGCTCTTGGATACATCCACACAGAGTTCTTGGACACTACTTGGCAATCGTTCCCGTAGTACACTCAGAGCAGGAGCATTTTTGCTAGTGACCAAAACTCGTTTGCCCTGACAAAGATAGGCGCACACAATATTGGCAATACTGTGGGTCTTGCCCGTTCCGGGTGGTCCTTCGGTAACAACTGCCGGATAGTGTTGATCCAGCAACAGCTCCGCAATGCGATTCTGAGAATCCGAAGTGGCCAATGGAAACATGGGCCGACAAGATTTATTGTTTGGACCAGAGGCAGCAGCAGCAAAATATTTCCAAAAGGACATGGCTGCTTGTGCGATAGGACTCTTGGCATTGATTGGCTCTAGGCCCTTGGCATTGACTTCTTCCAAGACGTTTGGTCCATGAGTCAAGGACCATGCTGCCATGGACAATTGTTGTTCATGCTTGGCCAGTTGATCGGCTAGGATATTGGCATCTCGTGCCCAGACTGTGGTTGGCTTCAATCGGCTGTACAGACACCACGCTTCTGACACTACTAGAGAATTTTCTCCAAAGGATTGTCGTCTCGCCGAAGACACCGACGAAGGCGAAATGGCAGAGGGTGTCTTGGCCGACGCTTGAAAGATACCATCTGAACACAATTCCAAAGTCAACTGTTTCAAAATCTTGACGTAGGTCGAAGGCTGACCTGGACTAATGTTGGAGGCTTCCAATTGCGAGATTCGTCGGTGCCATTTGGACAAGACGTCTTGAGAACTGGCAAGGGCCGCCACCACTTGACGATTCAAGGTGACACCCGTATGTTGTCTTGGTTTGACCAACAGGGCTCCATCCGGGGCCAGATCCACTTCGACCAAGACATCTAACAGTGGTCCATCAATATAAGTATTGGTGGATGGATCGGCAAACTTGGCATGTCCCAAGGACCACACTAGTTCTTGATTATGTGTATCTTGTTGTTGAATCCATTCAAACAATCGATTGTACATGGGTTCCAATGCCTGTTGATACCGATTGGTCAACAGATAGCGCTTGTACCGTTTCAAAAAGACTCGGATGGGCCGAGAGGGATGCTTGTCCAATTCTCGATTGATCCTAGATGCCGAGGACAATAATTCTTGATAGGACGTGGCTTTAATCTTGGGGCGGCGTTGCATCCACTGATCCAAAAACGCTTGGACGGCAGCATGATGGGGTTGCGGTTCTTCCAAACGTTGGGCTTTGGTGAGACGTGTCAGCCGGAGCCAACAAATCGATGATGATTCCGATCTTGATGTTCTCGGTGAGATGCTCTTGAGGCGTCCCGTCAAGCTTCGTTTGCGATCTCCGCTTGCCGCCATTGATGCCATAGAAGTAGGAGTAGGCCCAGAATTGGCGGCATAGAAGGAAACGGGAGGTGAGGGAAACAAAACTTCTTCTTCTGCTTCCGCATCCCAAGTCAAGAGGGTTCGAAAATTTTGTGTGCTAAACAGAACACCTGATCCATCTTCCACTTCAAGATTCTGATAAAAGTCTTGAGTAGCCTCTTCGGTACGCACAAAGGAATGCTGAATGCCGTCTCCGGAATGCAAGGCTTGATGCCAGCTGGCAATGTACCGCAGAATTTGGGCCAGCTTTTTACGATGTGACGTTATTGTTTCCTCGTCCATCTTATGAATGGTTGATTGGGTATATTATGGCAAAGGGGATGATGAAGTGATGCCTTGTTGTCTAATCAAGTCCTTGATGAGTGACAATGGGGTGCTGGCGACAGATCGAGAGTATATAATACTTGCACGACGATGATCCATAATAATATATGTGAATCGAATCCTTTTGAACCAAATTCTGTCAAAGAGTCGACTGACTGACGAGACTTTTTGATTCGTGTCAATTTCAATTTTTCGTTCACGACCCAAAGAGCGACTCCACTCTCAACTCGACTGACTCGACTTTCATACCTAATTGACCTCTCCTATATTATTATTATACGCTGCGCCATACTCGTACCATGGTACCAAGAGATGGGCATGCAATATATAATACCATGATTTGTCATGGCCATGATATCGATAAGAATTTCAAATTGAATGCATATTTGATGTAACATAGAGAAAGCTCAATCTGACATTTTATGTGTACCATAGGTAGTAGTAACTTATACAGTACAAGTATATGTGCAAGTTATTCGCAACTTGAAACGGTACTGTATATTGTTGTGGTCAGAAGTAGTAGAAGTAGTAGCAACAACAGCAGCAATAATATAATAATATATGTGACTCTTGCCGTTGATCCCGTGGAAGTCAAGGTTGACTTTCTTCCAAGACGTTTATGAGCGCAGCATGAGTCAAGGACCATGTTATTGTTGTAGACAAATGTTGCTGGTTCAAGGTGGCGTTGGTAAAACGACCGAAACACAGTTCTTGTCGTGGCTGAAGCTTATTTGAACGATATATACCGCCATCTTATCGCCAAAACTCTTGACAAACCTGAGCAAGATGTACGGCTGCCCAATATATTCCAACAATCCATATACATATATAAATATATATATATACATACACCTCGTCTGGCACATACAGTAAGTGTGATATATGGCGCCAACAAAAGGAAAGATTGATTCCATGGCAGAATAATATGTATTCAATATACAATCAGGCATTACCGATGGGGCATTGGATGGCGGTAAGGTGGCTCGATTCGATAGATAGATTCAAGATGGATGGAAGCATGCATGCTTGTTGGTTATTTCGAAAAACAGGATTCTTGTGGTTTTCCCCGGCATGGCGGACACGGACTGAAAGATGGTGCGCATTCGTATTCTCATCTTCTCATCTTCATACTTGCCGTAAACATGGCATTATCATGGCACCGCAAATAACTCGGTGCAGGATCATCTCGTCGGTGGAAGAGTTATAAATAATTGGACCCGATACAGTAGGTGCATGTTGGACATTCTTGGGAGGTCGCAAAGAAGGCGAAGATATATGAAGGCTGTAGACTTTCAGACTTGGTGAAGCAGATGGCAATGCATTATAGGACGTGGCGTCATTGCGGGGAGAAGTATTAATTATTTTCGACCCTCATATACCGGAGCAAAGGTTGCATGATATTTGCATGATATGACTCGGATGGAACAGAACTTGGAGACGGACCATCTATGCGGGAATCTTTTCCTTTACTGTAGGTTGCACAGTGTCTTCGTCGTCTTTCCTTATTATTGTCTATCTCAAGATTGCTTGGGTCATCATTGATTGATTGATTTCAGATTGGCAGTGTGATATATATTGCTGCTGCGGACGCCGGACGCATACAATATACCGGTACCGGTATATATACCGCGGTATATCTCCGTATTATACACAGTATTTTAATGTTACGACTCACTCGACTTCCTCCTGTTTTTATTGTGGGCATTATTTTAAAATATGATATTTGTTGGTATTTTAGGAACAGACAACACCACCGTCCACAGTATAGGAGTGCCATGGTATACTCGCATGCACGAATTTTAATAGCAATGCAATTTCAGCAGGAAATACAATGATGATGCATCATGAATGTTTGAATGAATCTATCCAAAATGTCGCAGTAGGTCGTACAATATGTGTCATATGTACGTTTGTCTTATTGGCTATGCGGGGTCACAGTATCATAAAAAGGATCCTTATTCTGCGCTATGCCATATATATGATAGCAATATCGTAGAACTGATGGTCTATAGCTATATACGGAAGTTCACAGCTAGATTACACAAAGATTATGGATTATTCTAAGATTCCCGGTATGGCGGTGAAAATGGGGTCACCGTTAGCTTTGCAACACGCGCCGTTTGATGCGGCTACTGCGTTGTTGCCAACTGCGTTACAGCTGTTAGCAGGGACAATTGTCATGCACGCGCAACAACTGGAGGAAAAAATTAAAAAGATGCAGATGTCAGTGCCAAATATGTAATGGTGAGATACCACAGAAACAATTCTTTCGTGACTTACCCATCGCAATTGCAACTGCCGCTGCCGACTGTCATCGATCTAATGGCTGCAGGATCAGTTGGAACTATATCGTTCCCTTGATCTCTTACTAAACCTGAGCAAGCGCCTACTCCCTTGCAGCTGTCTTCTCCAATAGTCAATACATTTCGTCCGGCACACGCATTCTCGCCTATGCAGGATGTTGCCTCGACTTTCCCACTATACGACAAACACCCGTTCGAGCCGGTACACGAACCATCCCCCACAGTGAGTGCCCCTGTCTTGGAAGGATCTAATTTGATAGTACCGCCCTGGTTGCCAAAGCCATCACAGCTATAAGCAGCAGTGCAGCTAGCCGCACCAGCATCCAACTCGCGTCCGCGACAGGAACCTGATACTGTACAAGTACCTGCTCCCACTGTGATTGGTTTCGCAAAGGTAGAGGGTACGGTGCCCGATGCATATTCTTCACCTGAGCAAGAGTTGGCCTCTATGCAGCTGCCTTCTCCAATAGTCAGTATACTCCGTCCTGCACATGCATAATCACCGAGACAAGACCTATCTCCTGCTGTTCCACTTTGTGAGAAACATCCGTAAGCACTGGCACAGGAGCCAGCTCCAACATCCAGAGCACCGAGCGATCCATTCGCATCATTCCGACACGAATTTGCTCCAACGCAACTCCCATCACCAGCTGTTATTTCCCGCAGAGCACAACTTCTTGCTGCTGTGCAGCTTCCGGTGCCAATATCCGTCGTCGCTCCATTGCAAGAATTTTCAGCAAGGCAGCTACCAGCGCCGATTCCTGTTCCGTCAGCGTTAGTGCAAGCATTCAATCGAGTGCAGCTACCGGCGGCAATGGTATCCACTTGTGCGGCATTGCAAGAATTTTCAGCAAGGCAGCTACCAGCGCCGATTCCTGTTCCGTCAGCGTCAGTGCAAGCATTCAATCCGGTGCAGCTACCGGCGGCAATGGTATCCACTTGTGCGCCTTTACAAGAATTTGTAACAAGGCAGCTACCGCCGAGGATCCTCGTCCCGGTAGCGCCATTGCAAGCATCCAATCCGGTGCAACTACCACCGGCAATGGTACCCACGTCTGCGCCATTGCATGCATTCGCCAGAGTACAGCTGCCATCGCCAATAGTGCCCAGAGTTGTTCCATCGCAAGCGTTTGCCTCGAGGCAAGAATTCTCTCCAATTGTTCCTGTTCCAGATAGATTCACACAAGATTGGCTAGCAGCGCAAGAACCACAACCAATCGTAACGCGAGAAATGGGACTGTCACAGGAGTCTGACAGCAAACAGTAGCATAATTTGGCTGACGGAGATCCACTGGGAGCTTCCGAAGGAACCATAGAAGGCTTCATTGACGGAGCGACAGATGGTTTCGTTGATGGCTTCGTTGATGGATTGGAAGATGGCCTCATTGATGGCCTCATTGATGGTAGGGAAGAAGGAGCCCTACTCGGCTTGGATGATGGATTCATAGATGGTGCATTACTTGCCACAGGTGTTGGAACCAAACTCGGTCCAACAGATGGTACTACGCTGGGTTGGCTCGACGGTGGAGGAGTTGGACCAATCACAGGAGCCAGTGTCGGTGCCGAAGAAGGGGGAATTGTAGGCACAAGACTTGGTGAAAAAGATGGCAATGCAGTAGGACGTGGTGTTGGTGGAAGTGTTGGACCAGATACCGGAGCCGAAGTTGGAAATTCAGATGGAGACTCGGAAGGAACGGAACTAGGCTGCATACTTCCTTCACCTTCGCCAATAACGGGAGCTAGTGTTGGAGCTGTTGGAGCACCGGGACCTCCAGGACCACCACCAGGACCACCACCAGGACCACCACCAGGACCACCACCAGGACCTCCAGAACCAGAACCTCCAGTGGGAGTTTCGGATGGCACATCCGAAGGTGGGATGCTTGGAATTCCCGTTGGCATCGAAGAAGGTGCCGTTGTTGGTGAGAGGTTACTAATACCTTCAACCAATCGAACGGCAAAGAAGGGAAACTCCAATTCCAATGGAACTTTCAAGTTATTTTCTTCACCTTCCGCAATCAATTCTTTCTCAGCTTCGGAGATCAATGTGATAATCTGAAAGAGTGGAATTGGTCCCTTCAAGAATACGGAGAGTTCAAAAAACACTCTGTGGCATTGCGCCGTGAATCGAGTTTCGGTACAGTCAGCGTCCTGTGGCGTTCCCTGGACAAAGGCATCCCTAATCACATAGCGTTTCTCACGAAGATTCTCGCCAAACGCAAGAAGTCTCTGGTTCTGAGAGGCACCTCGGATCATGAAAGTATCTGTCTCTACCAAGTTGCGACGACTGATGTCAGAACAACCAATCAAAAGAGGAACAAGCTTCTGTTGAATGGCTGAGGCAAGGGTAACGACTTGAGTGGCATTGATGTCTTCCTCCGTTTCCAAAGTGACATCAATGGTAAGACCAAAATTAAATTGATCCAACTCGGCTCGTTCCTCGGGGGAAGTACGGTTCAGGGCCACGAGTTCACAGTCTTCCAGACTTGGTGGATCGTAGAGTTGAAAGGTGGCTGTAGGACCTTCCGAAGGAGCCCCAGAAGGGGATCCAGATGGGAATGCCGACCCGTTGGCAGGAGTATCTTGGAGAGACGCGACTTCATCTTCACCTCCGCGCAACCCAAAGATGACGCCAAGCACAATGGCGAGGATGAGGAGCAATAGGCAGAGACACAAAAGGATGGCTCTCTTTCTCTTTTTCTTCTTTTCCTCTTCTTCTTCTTCTTCCTTCTTTTCTTGCTTGGACTTGCGCTTGTTGGTCTTTTCATCAGGTCCAGCAGTTTCCATTGCATCGTTGGGAACAGCAAGAGAATCCATATCCATGAGATCCTTCTTGCTGTGCTTGTTCTTGTCATCGTTCATCATAAGGGCAGTCGCGCCACCCACACCAGCCGCAGCTCCCACGGCCGCAGCTCCTCCACGAGAAGGTCTCGAAGATCGCTTGGATTTGCTCTTGGATGGTTTTGAAGCGGAGGATGATGGCTTGTTTTCTTCCACGACTTGAATACCAGGCGTGGTAGCTCGTTCGCCTCCAGATGCTTTTGCCTTGGCTTTCGCATCATCATCATCATCACCAACAAAAAGCAACTTTTCTTCCTTGGTGTGTGCTTCTGCGTCTGAGTCTGTTCCTTTAGCATGCTTGCTTCTCGAAGGAGACGCTGCTTCACTAGAACGCTTGCTGGTTCGGAGAGGGGACGAGGGTACTGGGACAGGCTTGGTGCTGCTTCTGGAGGGAGACCTACCCTTCGAAGAAGCGTGGCGTCTGCTGCTGCTTCGATGATCTTTAGAAGAAGACTTGTCGCTGTGGTGACGTCTGCTGCTCTTGCGGTCAGTACTGGAGAGCTTGTCCTTGCGTCTATCGTGGTCCTTATCGCGGTCGCGGTCCTTATCGCGGTCCTTATCACGATCACGATCCCTATCACGATCCCTATCACGATCCTTGCCTCTATCACGATCTTTTCCTCTGCGGCTGCTCGTTCCGCTCTTTCTGTCCCTTCGGCTGGTGCGCTCCTCTTCACTCATGGTGATGATAGATAGATAGATTGATAAATAGATAGATAGATAGATAGATAGATAGCTAGGCTGCTGTTGTCAATGTAAGCTTCAGACGTTTTCTGACGTTTATACGCAACAATCAAACACAATCAAAAAGCCTGCAATAAACGAGATGATGGGAAAAACTTCCTCTCCCGCGACACAATCGAAGGTGACCGCTCGGAACATGTGAAATGCCTATGTTTCGTATGGTGCGACATTCGTTCAAGACCTCAAACTACTGCTACGTATGTACCAAAAATCTCATGACCGGCACTGAACAAATAAGGGTCATCCTCATGGGGATGGCGGGCTTGCTACAAAAATTTGGGAGTTATGGTCTATCGAGTCAACGGAGATCTGATCGAGAGCATCGCATTACCGTATATATGGAGAATCCATTTTTCATCTCTCGCGAGTGTTTTTTATATATATCATCAGCGGGGACATAAAATCTGTGACCTATGACACTATTCCGTACCGCGGGACGCATGTTCGAACTGTGAATGAATCAATTATACCCGGTACCTATACACCAATATGAAGATGACGCAGAAGACAGCATATTCATATGAACTACTGTACTGCCGAGTAAGGAATGAATGTCGTAATACTCTCATTCATGATGCAGTATCCGAATAAAAGTGTTCTATTATCTGTTCTGTTCTACCGTACCAGGTACCGTACGGGTTGAGTGGGTCACTTTTATGAATGACGACGACATTTCAATGATTGAATTCCAAGAATGGTCATATGGGATGATATCGAATGCCGTTACAGCATGTTCATGATGCAATGTCCAAAGGCGGATGATATCACGATATGCTATGCTATAATAATAAGAGGTTATTGTTATGGACCGAGTGAAGCGAAAATATGTATGGCAGTATCGACGCATGCTCTTCATCTTGCGCCATAAGAAGAGCCTCAGTACAGTACTACAGAATGCTGGATTCATGGTATTATTGTGGATAATTATACTACACTTCAACATAATGACACAACAACACTTATCGCAGACCGCATGCCGCATCAGACAAGATATAGATGAGAGGCTTATATTGAATATGCAACTGGATTACATGACGATTATGCGGAAAGTTTGAAACTACTCAAATACGCTTTGGCACTTAATAATGATAATAATGTGTGACGACGAAGCCTTGTGCGTAAACGCAATGTTCCGAGCCTGCTGATCGACTGCGCACTGTAGGGACACCAACACCAACAACACGTTTTAGCGACAACAACAATACGCCAGTCCTGCAGCACAAACAACAACTGAAGACGACAAACAAGATTCTGCGCTGACATTGACAAACCAAACTTGCGAAGGGTGTCTTATTTCAAACAGTTCAAAGACTACCGTGCTGTGAACACGAGTACATTGCAGCTGTCATCAGGGACAACAGTCATGCACGCGCAACAACTGGACGAGACAAAATAAGAAAAAGGTGTCAGTCACAATTAACAAAACAACAGTGAAATATGACAGGATCAACTGGTTCGGCGTGACTTACTTCTCACGATTGCAACTGTTGTTCCCGACTGTCATCGATCGTGGTGAAGATGGTAATCGATCGGTCGGCTCATATTCTTCCAAACCGGAACATGATCCAGCAGCCGTACAATACTGGCTGTTCCAGTTGCCAATGGTCCCCACAGTTGCGAATTCGCAAGCGTTCGCTGCAGTGTAAGAATTAGATCCGATTGTGATGGCTCCTTTCCCAGCTAGACTAAGACAAGAGTGAGTCGGTAGCACTGCAGGAACCACAACCAATCGTAAAGTCAGCCGTCACGGATGTGTCACATGCATCTGTTGGTACACAGTAGCAGAGTGTGGGAGCTGGAGTTACACCCATAGTCGGAGGGGAAGATGGAATAGGGGGTGACGGATGGTCAGATGGGACTGGGCTCGGATTGATTGATGGATTCAACGATGGCAATCTTGTGTGCTTGGTGAAATTGATGGAACAAAAGTCGGCTCAAGAGATGATGCTACGGTGGGTGCGCTCGTCGGTGGCGAAGTTGGATCCACCACAGGTGCCAGTGTTGGTGCCAACGAAGGGGAAGCTGAAGGCTCTAGACTTGTGATACCAGATGGCGATGCACTTGGATTTGGTGAAAGTGTTGAAGTCGATACCGGAGCAAAAGTCGGAAAATGAGATGGAGTGGTACTTTGTGATGGTCCATCAATCAGTATCGGCGACGGCAGTAAGGTGTTTGCTTCTTCAGTTCCAGTCGGTTGTGGCGTTCCCCCAACAACTAGCATTGCTGTAGGCGGCAAAGTAGTAAATTCCAAAGTTGAGGAGGGAGTCTCAGATGGCTCAGATGAAGTCATCGGAGAAGGTGCCGTTGTTGGTGAGAGGTTACTAATACCTTCAACCAATCGAACGGCAAAGAAGGGGAATTCCAATTCCAATGGAAGTTTCAAGTTATTTCCTTAACCTTCCGCAATCAATTCTTTCTCAGCTTCGGAGATCAATGTGATAATCTGAAAGAGTGGAATTGGTCCCTTCAAGAATACGGAGAGTTCAAAAAACACTTGGTGGCATTGCGACGCGAAACTGGTTTCAGTGCAGTCAGCGTCCTATTGCGTTCCCTGGACAAAGGCATCCTTAATCACATAGCGATTCTCACGAAGGTTCTCACCAAACGCAAGAAGTCTCTGGTTCTGAGAGGCACCTCGGATCAGGGAATGTTCTTCTCCCTCTGCCAAATTGCGACGACTGATATCGGAACAACCAATCAAAAGAGGAACAACCTTCTTTTGGAGCGATGTTGCTAGCGTAAAGACTTGCTTGTCACTGATATTCTCTTCAGTTTCCAAAGTGACATCAATGGTAAGACCAAAGTTAAAAATTGGTCCAACTCGGCTCGATCGGTAGAAGTGGTACGGTTCTGGGCAACTGTATTGCAGTCTTCCAGACTTGGTGGATCGTAGAGTTGAAAGATGGCTGTAGGAGCATCAGACGGTGGAGCGGATATAGATACGGCTGTACGTACACTTGATGCTTCGTTGGTATAACGCAGCTACCGGACACCGACCCATCATATGATAGTAAACTTATAATAACTAATACGTAACCTCAATGTTCAATAATTGTCTTACAGTTTTAAAACAAAGTTACGAAGGAACCTTTCAATTATGTCTCGTACAAAGCACTTTCCATACGGGGCAAGCCTAACATTGCCGGGATTTCGTCAGTTCTTCCTCTTGAAACTTCTTTCCATTCGGAAGAGACCAGAGACCCTCGCCAACACAACGAACCGACTCGTCGTTCGCCATTGGAGATATGTCATTTAGTAGAGGCAGCATCAAGAAGTAATGTGTCGATTTTCGCACCCTGATCTTTTCCAGTTCGTCTCAGGCTTTCGTCTTGAATATATTGTGGATCCTTGAGTGCTTCAAATTCTCTCACGCTTTTTGAGTGTGTTTTTGTTTTCAGATGTTGTTGTATCTTTTGACCTAGATCAGTTGAGCGTTTACATGCGCGACATAGATACCATTGATGACCACAGCAGGCCGTATTACAAACAAGCCGAGCAATGTACGTATTATGTTGTCCATCCGGACAAATTCGTCTCCTCGTGTCTCGATGCATATCCTTGGTTTCGGTGTTGCAATTGGGACAAGATAGGTTTCGCTTGAGTGAGGGATTATGGTAGTCCGCAAAGTCTTCCCGCGAAAGCTTGGTGGTGTTTGATTGAACATGTAGGTCCCCCATGAGGCAGACGGATGCTTATCGGCTTGAGTGCGAGATGATGTATCCTTGGAAAAGATTTACAACTTTTGGATGAAAGGAACATTTCACAAAGCGCGAAGAGGGCCCATCGCTGAAAGAGACAGGTGTCGGAGTTGTTTTGGGACTTCCGCTTCTTTTTCTTCGCACGTTTGCCATATTGTATCTTCCACGATCCGTCATCGTCATCGTGGACGAACTGCCGATATTGGCATATTAGTTTTCTAAATCGTGTTAGTCAACTTGGTCTCGATTTGGAAAACTATAAAACTTTTTCGCGTTACCCGGCGCCGCCTCCACTCCTGGGATACCCGGCAAAAGTCGTTTTGCTGCATATTTTCATGTGTTCGTGTTCGTGGACAACGGAGTTTCACGCGGTTTAAATGGAGATTATTTTCCCGATTAAACTCTTTTTAAACGCCACCAATTGACAACGCCAGACTTGCAGTTTTGGGCTATTATGCTCGGCCCGTACGAAATTCTACAACGAAACTCTACGAAACCTACGAAACGAAATTCAACGAAACTCTACGAAACTCTACGAAACTCTACGAAATTCAACGCTCAACGAAAGCTACGAAATCTCTCCGCGAGCTAATTTTGTAAATCTGTAGATTTGCGGTGTGTGTTTTCGCGCAAGCAAAAGACTGAAAAGCACATTGCAACGGTCGTGGAACGAAACCAACGAAATCCAACGAAACCCAACGAAACGCAACGAAACCCAACGAATTCCAACGAATCTTACGAAACACAACGAAATCGAACGAGATCCAACGAAACCTACAATACACAGAAATATTTATATAGACAGTGTCACATCGAAATCAAAGGCCACCTTATTTGATTGGGAAACGAATCAATATCGATTTATATCGCGTAAGACTTCCTGAACCACGAACACCACATCATGAAAATATGCAGCAAAACGATTTTTGCCGGGTATCCCTGGGCTTGAATCGCATGATGTATCTTTGTCTGGAGAGATCGCGCACGTATGCTACCATGGAAACTGTGGCAAAAGCCTGATGCTACATACGAGAAGCGAGTAGGTTTGGCACAGTAGCGAGGTACTAAGCTAGTGACTGGTTTGCACCGAGGTCGAATCATAGGATTCGAAAAGGACAATCAATAGGATTGACAGACAAACCCGGACCAAATGGGGTACCGAGCTATGGTGCAAATGAGAGAGAGGGTGGTGAGGGC